GTGCTCCATGGGTTGTGCTATCAGCTCACTAGGTGCTCCATGGGTTGTGCTATCAGCTCACTAGGTGCTCCATGGGTTGTGCTATCAGCTCACTAGGTGCTCCATGGGTTGTGCTATCAGCTCACTAGGTGCTCCATGGGTTGTGCTATCAGCTCACTAGGTGCTCCATGGGTTGTGCTATCAGCTCACTAGGTGCTCCATGGGTTGTGCTATCAGCTCACTAGGTGCTCCATGGGTTGTGCTATCAGCTCACTAGGTGCTCCATGGGTTGTGCTATCAGCTCACTAGGTGCTCCATGGGTTGTGCTATCAGCTCACTAGGTGCTCCATGGGTTGTGCTATCAGCTCACTAGGTGCTCCATGGGTTGTGCTATCAGCTCACTAGGTGCTCCATGGGTTGTGCTATCAGCTCACTAGGTGCTCCATGGGTTGTGCTATCAGCTCACTAGGTGCTCCATGGGTTGTGCTATCAGCTCACTAGGTGCTCCATGGGTTGTGCTATCAGCTCACTAGGTGCTCCATGGGTTGTGCTATCAGCTCACTAGGTGCTCCATGGGTTGTGCTATCAGCTCACTAGGTGCTCCATGGGTTGTGCTATCAGCTCACTAGGTGCTCCATGGGTTGTGCTATCAGCTCACTAGGTGCTCATGGGTGCTCCTCATGGGTTGTGCTATCAGCTCACTAGGTGCTCCATGGGTTGTGCTATCAGCTCACTAGGTGCTCCATGGGTTGTGCTATCAGCTCACTAGGTGCTCCATGGGTTGTGCTATCAGCTCACTAGGTGCTCCATGGGTTGTGCTATCAGCTCACTAGGTGCTCCATGGGTTGTGCTATCAGCTCACTAGGTGCTCCATGGGTTGTGCTATCAGCTCACTAGGTGCTCCATGGGTTGTGCTATCAGCTCACTAGGTGCTCCATGGGTTGTGCTATCAGCTCACTAGGTGCTCCATGGGTTGTGCTATCAGCTCACTAGGTGCTCCATGGGTTGTGCTATCAGCTCACTAGGTGCTCCATGGGTTGTGCTATCAGCTCACTAGTGTTGTGCTATCACTAGGTGCTCCATGGGTTGTGCTATCAGCTCACTAGGTGCTCCATGGGTTGTGCTATCAGCTCACTAGGTGCTCCATGGGTTGTGCTATCAGCTCACTAGGTGCTCCATGGGTTGTGCTATCAGCTCACTAGGTGCTCCATGGGTTGTGCTATCAGCTCACTAGGTGCTCCATGGGTTGTGCTATCAGCTCACTAGGTGCTCCATGGGTTGTGCTATCAGCTCACTAGGTGCTCCATGGGTTGTGCTATCAGCTCACTAGGTGCTCCATGGGTTGTGCTATCAGCTCACTAGGTGCTCCATGGGTTGTGCTATCAGCTCACTAGGTGCTCCATGGGTTGTGCTATCAGCTCACTAGGTGCTCCATGGGTTGTGCTATCAGCTCACTAGGTGCTCCATGGGTTGTGCTATCAGCTCACTAGGTGCTCCATGGGTTGTGCTATCAGCTCACTAGGTGCTCCATGGGTTGTGCTATCAGCTCACTAGGTGCTCCATGGGTTGTGCTATCAGCTCACTAGGTGCTCCATGGGTTGTGCTATCAGCTCACTAGGTGCTCCATGGGTTGTGCTATCAGCTCACTAGGTGCTCCATGGGTTGTGCTATCAGCTCACTAGGTGCTCCATGGGTTGTGCTATCAGCTCACTAGGTGCTCCATGGGTTGTGCTATCAGCTCACTAGGTGCTCCATGGGTTGTGCTATCAGCTCACTAGGTGCTCCATGGGTTGTGCTATCAGCTCACTAGGTGCTCCATGGGTTGTGCTATCAGCTCACTAGGTGCTCCATGGGTTGTGCTATCAGCTCACTAGGTGCTCCATGGGTTGTGCTATCAGCTCACTAGGTGCTCCATGGGTTGTGCTATCAGCTCACTAGGTGCTCCATGGGTTGTGCTATCAGCTCACTAGGTGCTCCATGGGTTGTGCTATCAGCTCACTAGGTGCTCCATGGGTTGTGCTATCAGCTCACTAGGTGCTCCATGGGTTGTGCTATCAGCTCACTAGGTGCTCCATGGGTTGTGCTATCAGCTCACTAGGTGCTCCATGGGTTGTGCTATCAGCTCACTAGGTGCTCCATGGGTTGTGCTATCAGCTCACTAGGTGCTCCATGGGTTGTGCTATCAGCTCACTAGGTGCTCCATGGGTTGTGCTATCAGCTCACTAGGTGCTCCATGGGTTGTGTTAGCACTAGGTCATGCTATCAGCTCACTAGGTGCTCCATGGGTTGTGCTATCAGCTCACTAGGTGCTCCATGGGTTGTGCTATCAGCTCACTAGGTGCTCCATGGGTTGTGCTATCAGCTCACTAGGTGCTCCATGGGTTGTGCTATCAGCTCACTAGGTGCTCCATGGGTTGTGCTATCAGCTCACTAGGTGCTCCATGGGTTGTGCTATCAGCTCACTAGGTGCTCCATGGGTTGTGCTATCAGCTCACTAGGTGCTCCATGGGTTGTGCTATCAGCTCACTAGGTGCTCCATGGGTTGTGCTATCAGCTCACTAGGTGCTCCATGGGTTGTGCTATCAGCTCACTAGGTGCTCCATGGGTTGTGCTATCAGCTCACTAGGTGCTCCATGGGTTGTGCTATCAGCTCACTAGGTGCTCCATGGGTTGTGCTATCAGCTCACTAGGTGCTCCATGGGTTGTGCTATCAGCTCACTAGGTGCTCCATGGGTTGTGCTATCAGCTCACTAGGTGCTCCATGGGTTGTGCTATCAGCTCACTAGGTGCTCCATGGGTTGTGCTATCAGCTCACTAGGTGCTCCATGGGTTGTGCTATCAGCTCACTAGGTGCTCCATGGGTTGTGCTATCAGCTCACTAGGTGCTCCATGGGTTGTGCTATCAGCTCACTAGGTGCTCCATGGGTTGTGCTATCAGCTCACTAGGTGCTCCATGGGTTGTGCTATCAGCTCACTAGGTGCTCCATGGGTTGTGCTATCAGCTCACTAGGTGCTCCATGGGTTGTGCTATCAGCTCACTAGGTGCTCCATGGGTTGTGCTATCAGCTCACTAGGTGCTCCATGGGTTGTGCTATCAGCTCACTAGGTGCTCCATGGGTTGTGCTATCAGCTCACTAGGTGCTCCATGGGTTGTGCTATCAGCTCACTAGGTGCTCCATGGGTTGTGCTATCAGCTCACTAGGTGCTCCATGGGTTGTGCTATCAGCTCACTAGGTGCTCCATGGGTTGTGCTATCAGCTCACTAGGTGCTCCATGGGTTGTGCTATCAGCTCACTAGGTGCTCCATGGGTTGTGCTATCAGCTCACTAGGTGCTCCATGGGTTGTGCTATCAGCTCACTAGGTGCTCCATGGGTTGTGCTATCAGCTCACTAGGTGCTCCATGGGTTGTGCTATCAGCTCACTAGGTGCTCCATGGGTTGTGCTATCAGCTCACTAGGTGCTCCATGGGTTGTGCTATCAGCTCACTAGGTGCTCCATGGGTTGTGCTATCAGCTCACTAGGTGCTCCATGGGTTGTGCTATCAGCTCACTAGGTGCTCCATGGGTTGTGCTATCAGCTCACTAGGTGCTCCATGGGTTGTGCTATCAGCTCACTAGGTGCTCCATGGGTTGTGCTATCAGCTCACTAGGTGCTCCATGGGTTGTGCTATCAGCTCACTAGGTGCTCCATGGGTTGTGCTATCAGCTCACTAGGTGCTCCATGGGTTGTGCTATCAGCTCACTAGGTGCTCCATGGGTTGTGCTATCAGCTCACTAGGTGCTCCATGGGTTGTGCTATCAGCTCACTAGGTGCTCCATGGGTTGTGCTATCAGCTCACTAGGTGCTCCATGGGTTGTGCTATCAGCTCACTAGGTGCTCCATGGGTTGTGCTATCAGCTCACTAGGTGCTCCATGGGTTGTGCTATCAGCTCACTAGGTGCTCCATGGGTTGTGCTATCAGCTCACTAGGTGCTCCATGGGTTGTGCTATCAGCTCACTAGGTGCTCCATGGGTTGTGCTATCAGCTCACTAGGTGCTCCATGGGTTGTGCTATCAGCTCACTAGGTGCTCCATGGGTTGTGCTATCAGCTCACTAGGTGCTCCATGGGTTGTGCTATCAGCTCACTAGGTGCTCCATGGGTTGTGCTATCAGCTCACTAGGTGCTCCATGGGTTGTGCTATCAGCTCACTAGGTGCTCCATGGGTTGTGCTATCAGCTCACTAGGTGCTCCATGGGTTGTGCTATCAGCTCACTAGGTGCTCCATGGGTTGTGCTATCAGCTCACTAGGTGCTCCATGGGTTGTGCTATCAGCTCACTAGGTGCTCCATGGGTTGTGCTATCAGTTCACTAGGTGCTCCATGGGTTGTGCTATCAGCTCACTAGGTGCTCCGTGGGTTGTGCTATCAGCTCACTAGGTGCTCCGTGGGTTGTGCTATCAGCTCACTAGGTGCTCCATGGGTTGTGCTATCAGCTCACTAGGTGCTCCATGGGTTGTGCTATCAGCTCACTAGGTGCTCCGTGGGTTGTGCTATCAGCTCACTAGGTGCTCCGTGGGCTGTGCTATCAGCTCACTAGGTGCTCCATGGGTTGTGCTATCAGCTCACTAGGTGCTCCATGGGTTGTGCTATCAGCTCACTAGGTGCTCCATGGGTTGTGCTATCAGCTCACTAGGTGCTCCATGGGTTGTGCCATCAGCTCATTAGGTGCTCCATGGGTTGTGCTATCAGCTCACTAGGTGCTCCATGGGTTGTGCTATCAGCTCACTAGGTGCTCCATGGGTTGTGCTATCAGCTCACTAGTTGCTCCATGGGTTGTGCTATCAGCTCACTAGTTGCTCACTATTCTAAGGTGCCGTGTGGCCCTCCAGGTTGTACCATTGGCTCGCTATAAAAACCTTGCCGTTTTCCACTACGTGTCCTCCTGAGTCCCATACCAGTTGCCGGTTCGTGATTATTTAGTCGACTCAGAAGACACAAAACTTTTTTTTCTCACTGCTACGTTCTCCGCCCTCCATGCAGGCTCTCACTGACCAATCGCAACCCGCCACCATGAGCGGCTCGCCTGCCCAGGATGTTGTGCTGACGACTCTCTTTGACCCACACTCGGGGCAAGTCCTGTCCCCTACCAGCGTTCCTACCAAGACCACCATCCCTACCAGCGTCCGTGACGCTGGGACGCATGCTGTAACTGGTAGTGATGCTGCTTATAGCGATGCTGCTGCTGCTGCTTCTGCCTCGCAGTCCGCTGGAACTGCTACTGAAAGCAAGAGAGGAAACTCTGGCAGTAGTACCACCAGCAGCGGCAGCTGTGGTACCAGCAGGGTCAGCAGTGCTACAGCTGCGTCTGGGGCAGCTAAAACTCTTCGTTGCCTTCCCATCTCCATCCGGGCAGTGATGGACCAATCCTTGGCCCTGAAACGGCCGCTGCTAGCGGTCCCTGTAGAGGGATGCGAGGCCCTCTGTAGAGGGGTTGAGGACCAGGCCGGGGTAGAAGGGGAGGAGAAGCAGCAGGGGCGAGATGAAGTTCGAGGTGCTAATTTAGGCGATGCAGCGAGTGCAGGCAAGGGTTTGGACGTGGGAAGGGCTGGATGTGGATGCAAGGCAGAGGCAGTGGCAGCTGCTGGTACTGACAGCAAAGGAGCAGCATCAGCATCAGCATCAGCGTCAGCATCAGCGTCAGCATGGGGACCTTCTGGGTGTGACGAAGGAATGAGCATTGGAGGATTTACGCCTAGCTGGGCTGCTTTGGTTCAGGCCGCTCTTGATTCCTCGGTCAAATCTCAGGTAATGTTTCCGTTGCAGCTATGCCAGCTGGCTCGTCACCTTTCCATGTCTTCCTTGCCTTTCATCTTTGAGTCGTCTCAAAACTGAACTAAAACTTTTGAGACGTCTGAAAACTATACTACTTAACCTCAGTCCACTCTCAGGTGGGGGCTCCGTTGCAACCATTCCAGCTGGCTCGTCACCTTTCAGGGACTCCATTGCCTTTGAGCTAGCGGTTGGGACTCCATTAGTGTTAGCTCGACGATTCAGGTTGTGGATCCCCGTAAAGGCACATTAGCATTCACGTACGCTGCTTTTATCCCCTGGGGGGGGGGGTGGGGAGGGGGGGGGGGTTGATCTTATTGAGAAAGCCCCGTCCTTCGAATCCCCTCCTTATCTCCATCCCCCGCTGCTCTTCCTCCCTCTTTTCCCTTTTCCGCCTTGGCATGGGTGTTGGGTATGCAGGTGAACTCGGTAGTGTCTCCCCTTCCACTCCTTCTGTCAACCTCTGCTTCTCCTCCTCGTCCTGCTGCCGCCGCTGCTGCTGCTGCTGCTGCTCCTGCCACTCCTGCTCCTCTCACTCCTGCTGCTGCCATGCCTGCTACTGCTGGCACCGTGGCTGCAAGCTCTGCTGCATTCTATGTAGAGCCTGTGTTTAAGCACCACTCGCTGATCACAATGGCACCCGTCACACGTGGCTCTTCACTCCTGCAGCCATCTCAGGTATTATCTCCCAGGCACACTACCTGCATCGTCTCGTCTTCTTTCTTTCTCCCTCTGTCAACCCCCACGTATCCCCTTTCCTTGCTAAAACACTTTGATCATCCCCGCCTCCCACCTCGTATTGCCCTACTTGCCATACTCCTTTCCTTTTTGTCCCATCCAGTTCTGGGTTTTCCAGCATGAGTTGGCACATGCCAGCATGTACCAACAGATGAAGCCATCTTTTGGCTCGCTTCCTGCCACTCACTCACCCTTCTCCCTCTATCTTCATACTCTAACCCATCCAGCTCCGGGTTCTCCTACACGAGGCAGGCACCTGGCAGCACGTACCAACAGAGGAAGCCGTATCTCGGCTCGCTTCCGCTCCTTCGTCCTCCTACCAGCCGCCATTGGCTGGAGTGGCCGCTGCTCGCTTGCCATTCGTTCCTACTTTTGTGGAGATCCAAGCGCCTGCGCCTGCCAGCCGGTTCAGCAGGTGGATTGCAGCCCTTCGATATGTGATGCACGCTCTGTATGTCACTGTGCTTTCGTTATCCTCGTGCATTGTGTTCCTCTTTCTACCACACATGCGTGAAGTGTTGTTCGCATGCTTCTGTTGTCCTTACAATGCTCATCCGTCGCATTTGTGCTCTCCCTTTTCCAGGATGAGGTGACAAGCAAGAGCGGCCCAGAATGCCTCGTATTTTTCCCCGCATGTCAGCATTTTGCAAATCAAATGCTCCCCATTCCGGTTGTTTCCTAGGTATGGTGTGAAAGGTGTAAGAAATATATTATATGTAGTTCTCAATGTGCTTATACACATACGTATGTGTTCCTATGTGGATGTGTTTATGTGTTCACCGATAACGGACTCCCCAGTATTTCATAGCGAGCTGCCGTCCATGCTGGCAGCTTGGCCTGCCGCGCCATCCCCCCGCCGCTATGCGCCCCGCGGGGAGGTGAAACTCCCGAGGTGCGCGCAGAGGTGTGCATCGAATCCGAACTGCCTCCCCCTTCTCTCCCCGCGCACCCCCATCCCGCAAACCCCCTCTTCCCCGTCCCTTCTCCTTCCCTCTTCCCCTCCGCCAACCTCCCCTCCCGCATGCGTGCAGCACGGAGATATCTATGCTCCGAATGTCATGGTCTAGACCACACGCGAGACCAGCATAAACTGCAGCGTAAGTTGTAGCAGGCTGCTCCATCCGGGGCTCTCAGCAGCAGCAGGCCCATCCTTCGCGATTCCTCTGGTTAGGCCGTATCCTTGGATTACTGGTTACATTCTTCTGGGAATTTCCATCTCCAGCTGGTTATTTTCGTCGCGAATCGCGATGGGGACTAGCAGGAAGAAATCGCACGAGAAATTGCCATTCGGCGAGCCGCCGAAGCAGCCAGACGAGCCGTTTAATCCGTTCATCAACCACAGCGCGCCGATCGACTCCCCCTACGAGATCGTGAAGCTGACGCTGATGTTCCCCGTGTTCGTCGTCCGCGCCGTCTTCATGCTCGCCTGCTTCCTGCTCGGTTACGTCTTCGCGCGAATCGCGCTGATTGGCGCGAAGAACATCAACACGAAGTAACATTTCCTCGCTGATTATTGATACATTAGGGATAGTAACGTCCCGTCCTTATTTACGGCTCCTACTAAGCTAGTTGTAATTAACTTCGCATAAGCCAGGAATGGCACAGGGATTGAGGATGCAAAGCTCGCTGTGACGTCTAAAAACGGCCCAATCTCGTCTTCGCCCTCCTGGTCGCTTAGTCACCTCCCAGAGAGCTCCCACAGGATAGAGTTGATTAAGTTGAGATTTCTCATCGGCCATTTCTCGTTTTTGAGGCGCCTAAAATATAGAGCTGTTTAAGTTGAGATTTCTCATCGCCCATTTCTCCCAATGAGTTTTGAGTCGACTCAAAACACTCCTGGATTTCTCGTCGCCCATTTTTTTCGCCCAATTTCCGTTTCTTTTCATAGTCTCCTTTCATCCCCGTCCTCACTTATTCCCCTCGTCGTTCCTCTCCTTAACCTACCTCGTCTTTCCTCTCCTTATACCTACCTCTTCCCCCGTTCCCCCCTTCCCTGTCTTCCCTCCCTCCCCCCTCACCCCTCTTCCCCACCCTTCCTGTCGCCTCGCAGGCCCTTCCCCAAGTGGCGGAGGAATCTCCTGTGGCCCGTTAGCATTCTGACACGTGGCGTTCTCTTCGCGTGCGGTTACAACTGGATCGAGGTGCGTGCGTGGTCGTGGCAGCCGGTTACTTCTGAAAATGTCGGAATTCGTGCTTGCTGTTTACAGTATTACTTCGGTGCATGTGTCCTGATGTACCCTCATGTGTCCGGATGTACCCTCATGTGTCCTGATGTACCCTCATGTGTCCTGATGTGCCCTCATGTGTCCTGATGTGCCCTCATGTGTCCTGATGTACCCTCATGTGTCCTGATGTGCCCTCATGTGTCCTGATGTGCCCTCATGTGTCCTGATGTGCCCTCATGTGTCCTGATGTACCCTCATGTGTCCTGATGTGCCCTCATGTGTCCTGATGTGCCCTCATGTGTCCTGATGTGCCCTCATGTGTCCTGATGTGCCCTCATGTGTCCTGATGTGCCCTCATGTGTCCTGATGTGCCCTCATGTGTCCTGATGTACCCTCATGTGTCCTGGCGTGTCCTGGCGTGTCTTGATGTGTGTAGAATAATAGGTCCTTGCGCGATGCTGTGTTTCCATGCCGCGCACCCGGGTCAAGGGCCAGGCTGTGCCACACCAGATGCCCCTATGCCCCTATGCCCCTATGCGCCTATGCGCCTATGCCTGATGTATCCCAAGAGATGAGATTTCTGAAAATATGCCGCTCTTTCTGTGTATCACTCACCTTCTGTTCGGGTCAGAGGCAAGCCTTCCTACAGGTCAAAGGTGCATATTGTCACGGGTAACCATGTAACATCAGTTTCCTCTACTCCCTTTCTCCCTCTTTTTTTCTCCAACAAAAGCCGCGTCACTTCCACCAGGCCAGGGGCAAGTTGCGTCAAGGTCAGACGTGACTATTCTCGTGTGTAACCACGTGTAAAACCAGTATAGGCCCCCATCCCTCCTAGCCTTCCATCGTCTCTCCCCTCTTTCCCCCCCCCCCCCCCCCCCCCCCCCACCCCCCCTTCATCTCCCCCGCATCCAGGTTAAGGGCAAGCCTGTTTCGAGGACGGAGGCGCCCCTCCTCGTGTGTAACCACGTAACGTTCGTGGATCCGGTGCACCTGTTCATGGAGCACCCCTTTCCGTCTTTCTCCCTCGCTTCTTCCCAATCCATCCCTCGTCACGTGTTCAGGTCAAAGGCAAGCCCGCCTCGAGGTCCGAGGCACCCATCCTCGTGTGTAACCATGTAACGTTTGTGGACCCGGTGTACCTGTTCATGGAGCACCTGCCGATGATCATCACGGCTAAGGAGAACATGAACATCTTTGTGGCGGGGACAATCATGAAGGCGCTGCAGGTGGGTGGGCGTGGGTGGGCGTGGGTGGGAGTGGGTGGGAGTGGGAGTGGGTGGGAGTGGGTGGGAGTGGATGGGCTGTGGCGCCTCCAAGCCCCCCCCTGTAAAAGAGAAGATGAACATCTTCGTAGCAGGGAGTCGGGGACAATCATGAAGGCGATTCATGTGGGTGGGCGTGGTTGGGTGGGAGTGGGTAGTCGTGGGTGAGCGTGGGTGGGAGTGGGTAGTCGTGGGTGGGCGTGGGTGGGTGGGAGTGAGCAGTCGTGGGTGGGCGTGGGTGGACTGATGCGCCCCCAAGCCCTCTTGTTCATGGAGCACCCGTTTATGATCATAACAGTTTAAGAGAACATAAACGTCGTTGCAGCGGGGAGGGGGGGACAATCAGGAAGGCAGTCGGGCGTGGGTGGGTGGGAGTGGGTGGGTGGGAGTGGGTGGGTCGAGGCGCCTCAAAGCCGTGCACATGGGGCACCTGTTGATTACCCCCCTCCAATCCAACCCCAACAGGTCATCACCGTCGACCAGGCCTCCCCCCCTCCCCCTCCTCGCCCACCTTCCCTCTCGCCTCACCCCAGGTCATCACCGTCCACCGGGCCTCCCCCACCTCGCGCAAGGAAGCAGGCTATGAAATAAAAAGCCGCGCCATGTGCAACGACTGGGCGCACGTGCTGCTCCTCCCCGAAGCCACCACCGCCAACGCCGGCTTCCTCGTGTCCGTCATGGCTCCCTCCCCGGGCTGCCTGTGCAGCGGGTGTTGGTGACTGCAGGCTGCAGGCTGCAACCATCCGCCCATCCTCCGCCCCCCCCCGATCCACCACCCCCTATACCCCAGGTGATCACTGTGGACCGTGCCTCGCCAACGTCCCGCAAGGAAGCCGGTTACGAGATCAAGAAGCGCGCCATGTGCAACGACTGGGCGCGCGTGCTGCTCTTCCCCGAGGCCACCACCACCAACGGCCGCTCCCTCGTGTCCTTCAAGACCGGGGCGTTCGTCCCGGGGCTGCCCGTGCAGCCGGTGGTGGTGACGTACCCGTACACGTCGTTCGACCCCTGCTGGGTTGCTGAAGGATTGCCGGACATGCAGCTTCTTTGGAGGCTCATGTCCCAGCCGCACAACAGGATGCGGGTGAGTGAAGGAGGGGAGGGAAGGCGATGGGGAGGACAGGGAAGGGGGGGGCAGTAGTTGTGCAGCCGGTGGTGGTGACGTACCCGTACACGTCGTTTGACCCCTGCTGGGTGGCCGAGGGGCTGCCGGATATGCAGCTTCTCTGGCGATTGATGTCCCCCCCGCACAACAGGATGAGTGAGGGGCGTTGCAGGATGAGTGAGGGGCGTTGCAGGATGAGTGAGGGGGGTTGCTGGGGGGGATGAGAGGGGAAGGGAAAGAGGGGAGGTGACTGGGATGACAGGGAGGCCACGACCACCAACGGCCGCTCCATCATGTCCTTCAAGACCGGCGCGTTCGTCCCCCAACTGCCTGTGCAGCTGGCGGTGGTGACGTACCTGACATGCATCTGCTCTGGCGCCACACGTCCCAGGTGCACAAGAACAGGATGAGGGTGAGGATAACAAGATGAGGCCAGGGGGTATCATGGGGAAGGGGAACAGTGGTTCTATTGCCGGTGCACCTGGTGGTGGTGCCATCTCTGGCCAAAGCTCCCTTCTCCCCATCCTCCTCTCCACTATCACCCTTCTTTCCTCGCGTACACACGCACACAGGTGGAGTACCTGCCAGTGATGGCCCCAACAGAAGAGGAGAAGAAGGACGCTCGGAAATTTAGTGCACACACCCCTCCCTCCCCCCCAACCCGCACGCACCCCCCCCCACAGGTGGAGTACCTGCCAGTGATGACCCCAACAGAGGAGGAGAAGAAAGACGTAGGAAGTTCGCTGAGTGGGTCTGGCTGGCCATGGCGCGGCGCCTCAACCTCTCCCTCACCAACCACTCTTTTGGGAACGTTCTCCTGGCTCTGGAGGCGTGCAAGCTGCACCTGCCTGCAAGGCTCATATCCCCCCTTCTCCCCATTCCCCCCCCTTCTCCCCATTCCCCCCCCTTCTCCCCATTCCCCCCCCCTTCTCCCCATTCCCCCCCCTTCTCCCCATTCCCCCCCCCTTCTCCCCATTCCCCCCCCTTCTCCCCATTCCCCCCCCCTTCTCCCCATTCCCCCCCCTTCTCCCCATTCCCCCCCCTTCTCCCCATTCCCCCCCCTTCTCCCCATTCCCCCCCCCTTCTCCCCATTCCCCCCCCTTCTCCCCATTCCCCCCCCCTTCTCCCCATTCCCCCCCCCTTCTCCCCATTCCCCCCCCCTTCTCCCCATTCCCCACCGCCCCCCCCCCGTTGTCCTCTCTCTCTTTCCCCCCTCCCCCACAGGTGGAGTACCTGCCAGTGATGGCCCCAACGGACGAGGAGAAGAAAGACGCGCGCAAATTCGCTGAGCGGGTCCGGCTGGCCATGGCTCGCCGCCTCAACCTCTCCCTCACGGACCACTCCTTTGGGAACGTGCTGCTGGCGCTGGAGGCGCGCAAGCTGAAGCTGCCTGCCGGGACGGCGAATGTGGAGTTTGGGCGGCTGGAGCAGCTTTTTAGGGTGGATGTGAAGGAGGCGAAGCAGTACTTGAGACGCTTCAAGGACATGGACGTTGGGCACTGGTGAGGTGTCTGATGTGTCTCTGTGTTGCACTCTCCCTCGGTGTTGGGCGGCTGGAGCAGCTGTTCCGCGTGGACGTGAAAGAGGCCAAGCAGTACCTCAGACGATTCAAAGATATGGACGTGGGGCACTGGTGAGTGAATGGTTTGGTGGGCCTCTGAACTAGAGCTGGTTTTTTTATAATTCTAGAAAACCAGCTCAAAGGATGACGTGAGGCACTGCTGAGGGAATGGTTTGGTCACGAAACTTTGGTCGGCCGCTGGTGAGGTGTTACTGGCCACTGTTGGGTGGCTGTTTGGGCGGCTGGAACAGCTGTTCGTTGCTCTTAACTAATCTCAAGCTGGCTGCTATCTACGGAGCAGCTGTGCAGCCCCCCTCTCCCCAACCTTCCAGTGGCGTAGCGAGCTATAAGGTGTCCCTTTCAGCCCTTGCCCTGCTTTGAAACTTGCCTGCTTTGAAACTTGCCCTGGAAACTTGCCCTGCTTTGAAACTTGCCCTGCTTTGAAACTTGCCTGCTTTGAAACTTGCCCTGCGTTGAAACTTGCCCTGCTTTGAAACTTGCCTGCTTTGAAACTTGCCTGCTTTGAAACTTGCCTGCTTTGAAACTTGCCTGCTTTGAAACTTGCCTGCTTTGAAACTTGCCTGCTTTGAAACTTGCCTGCTTTGAAACTTGCCCTGCGTTGAAACTTGCCCTGCGTTGAAACTTGCCCTGCTTTGAAACTTGCCCTGCATTGAAACTTGCCCTGCTTTGAAACTTGCCCTGCGTTGAAACTTTTCTCAGCCCCCCACTCTTCCTCCCCCCCCATCCCCCCACCCCCCCTTTCTTGTTCCCCAACCTTCCAGTGGCATAGTGAGCAATCCCGGGTTCCTGTCTGCCTTGGGCCTGCTTCGTGCTCTTTCAGAATCCCTACCCTCTCCACCACCCCCCCCCCCCCCCTGCTACCCCCCCCCCCCCCTGCTACCCCCCCCTCCCCCCTGTTCCCCAACCTTCCAGTGGCATAATGAGCTACCCTGGGTTCCTGTCAGCCCTGGGCCTGCTTCGTACCTTTTCAGAATCCCTACCCTCTCCCCCCTCTCCCACCTCCCCTCCCACCAACCCCCATGTTACCCCCCCCCCCTTCCCCTCCCCCCGGTTCCCCGACCCTCCAGTGGCACAGTGAGCTATCCCGGGTTCCTATCAGCCCTGGGCTTGCCGGACTCAGAGGCGGCTCACACGCTCTTTGATTTCCTGGACACCAACGAGCGCGGCACCGTCAACTTCCGAGAGGTGGGTGGTGAGAGGTTCAGTGAGCGGCATGGTGGCCTGCAGAGGCTGCAAGGGCGGGCGCCTGCCGGACTCAGAGGCGTCGCACACGCTCTTTGTCTTGCTGGGCACCAATGAACGTGGTACCGTCAACTTCAGAGAGGCGTATAGCTTAGGAGAGAGTTGGTGAGGGGTAGTGTGAGTGAGGTGGTGTGTTTGAGGATTCCTGTCACCCCTGGGCCTGCTGGACTCAGAAGCCTCTTGCACGCTCTTTAACTTCTTGGATACCAACGAGCGCGGCACAGTCAACTTCAGGGAGGTATGGCTTGGGAGGAAGTTGGTGACGGGTAGTGTGATGGGTCTGGTTTGCAGAAGGCGTTTATCATGATGCTACCTCTCCTCCTCTCCTTCCTCTGTTCCCCCATTCTCCCCCCCTCTCTTTCCCCCCCTCTCTTTCCCCCGCCTCTCTTTCTCCCGTTCCCCTCTCTCCCTCCCCTCAGTTCCTAGCGGGCCTGGTCTTTGTGTCCCGCCACGGTCGCTTCCACGACTCGGTGGAAAAGGCGTTCAAGCGGCTGCCTCTCCTCCCCGTACTCCACTCCCTTTCAGTTCCTAGCAGGCCTGGTCTTTGTGTCCCGCCACCCTCACTTCCACGACTCGGTGGAGAAGGCGTTCAAGCGGTTGGATCTGGATGACGATGGACGGCTGACAGCGCACGAGGCCAAGGAGGGCATGCGGGAGCTCTTCCCCACTATTACGGACGAGCAGGTGGGTGTGCTAATCTGGCGCCATGCGGTGTAAATACGCGTACAGCGTATTATACGCTAGTGTATTATAAGCTCGCGTTATACGCTGTACGCTTGATTCCGGGATTGGATACGCTAGGAAATACGCTCTGGCGGGCAGGTCTAAAAGAAGCTCGGGCAGGTGTAAAAAATACCTGTTTGGGGAGGGAAGAGGGGTGGTGCAGAGCACCAAATTCCCCCCACCAAACGTGGCATCATTTAGCATGGTAATAAATAAATAGTTCAAGCCACCAAGGGCATGTCAAGGGTTCCATACTCCAACTACCAGCCAACCACCCATCTCAGGTAAGCCTCCCCCAAACCACCCGCCTAACCCTCTCCTGCTTTGCTCTACAGGTACTCGTCCAGCAGCTCCTCATCTTCGCCCTCCTCGTCCTCCTCCTCCCGGTCCACCCTGTACCCCGCAGGGACGGGGGCGTCCGGGATGTTCCCGGACACCACCCTCGCCCCCTCCTCGGTCATGTGCCAGTTGTGCACAACCTTCCAGTTGTGCGCAACGTAAACCAGATCCTTGCACTTTTCTGAACCTAGCTGGTTGCGTCGGGCGGTGTGGACAGTATCCCACACCGCCCAGTTGCGCTCGCAGCTGGATGCGGACACCGGCTGAGTTAGCACACGGCAAGCAGGGGCCATGAGCAAGGGGTGGTCAGTGCCGTGCCACTCCCACCACGCCTCCATGGAATAACTTCCTTCCTTCACCAACTTCCGGTCACTGATGGCCTCAGCCGTGCCGAAGCTGCCCCTCAACTTAAAAAAGGCGGCCAACCCTTCCTGCAGGAGGAGTGTGGCACGCTTGGGCAGGCCATCCCTCTGGGGAATCATCACCCCCCCATAGTGGCGGGCAATGAAAGCCTTGAACACATCGGTGCACTCCGTGTCCGGCCCAAAAATCCGCTCCTCCTGGTTGACCGGGTTAAGAATCCGCCCGACCACGTGCAGTGGGCAAGCCATACTCCCATGCCAACGCCGCTTCACAATCTCATTGACGCCCTTCTTGTCTCCCGCACTCAGCACCCCATCCCCCTCCTCCTTCAGCAGTTCTGCCACATTCACAGTGAGCTCAAGCATCAGCTCATAGATGCGGCCCATCATCCCCTTCGTTGCCGAATCCGTCGCCCTCATGGCCTTGACGGGAGCAGGAGCAGCCTCTTGAAGAGCTCAGCCGCCGGCCATGAGTCCTTATCCATGATTTGGTCGTGGAATGTCTCTGCAGCTGCCTTCTTTGGGCCCACCGCCCACTCCGCCTTCCATGCATCGCAGAGCACCATGGTCACCAGCGTTGACCGCAACTCCACCAGGCGGGACACAGCAATGTGCTGCGTCCCAAACCTGGTCCCCGCCGGCCTCAGCATCTGCGGCCCCTTCCCTCCGTCCACACCCCTGAGATACTGTCGGGTCCAATGGTGGCTGCGGGTGTAGTTGATGAGCTCGCGTGCCCGCCCCACTACCTCCTTGGCCCAAGCCTGCCGCCCCACATCCTCCATAAGGAGGTCGAGCACGTGCGTCGCACACGGCACATGCTCGATGCGCGGATTCTCTGCAATGAGGAGCCGGCAGGCGCTGTGGTAGTTGCTGCCACCATCGGTGCAGAACGCCACAAAGTTCTCGACCCCAACCTTTGGCAGGATGGGCCAGAGGAGCCGGGCGATGTATCCCCCGGTCTTTTTCTCCATCTTGCAGTCAATACTCTCGACGAACACTGCGCCGGTGTCATTGACCAGCATGACATTCGCCTGCGGCCTGCCACACTTGTCGGTCATCATGTCGCTGGCAATCGTCACGCCGTGGCGCTTCCAGCTCGACATGACGCCCGTCAATCCCTCGTCAATCCGCTTGCGGCATAGCTGCAAGCCGGCACCACCCACGTAGTCGCGCTTTGGAGGCACATAGCTGGTCCCCGCGCGCGCGATGGACCGGACGGCGTTGCGCCAAAGCGGGTGGTCGGCATGGCGCTCGGGAAGGCGGAGGCCGGCAAGAGGAGGCAAACAGCCTCGTCCGCCGCGGCATTGGCCGCTTGGGCGTCATCGGACAGGTAATCGGTGATCTTCCGCTTTCCCCGACCACTAACGGCGTCGAGAGCCGACTCCTCCGCCCTATGCGCCTCCTCCCTCGCGAGCACTTCGGCGGTTTGGAACGCGCGGACGGCAGCCTGCTCCTCCTTCCCTACCTCCTCGCATTTCCGAACCTCGCGCCTACGCATACCATCCCAACTAGTGATGTGCTGCGCGCAGCGGTAGGCCGTCCCAGTAAAGGATACGGGGCAGTACTTGCACCAATACTTTTGCTGCTTGCCGTGCTCCTTATGCTTAAACCTGAAATGCTTAAAGATAGTGTGGGTGGAGTTCTCTAGGAGCTCGCCAGAGGAAGACGCAGCACGGGAGGTTCCCGCGTCGTTTTTGTGGGAACCAGGACTAGGTGGAGGGGTCGACATAGCAGCAGTCGCTAAAAAACCAGCTAGCTGGTCGTGCTAGCTTGGAAGAAGAAATGACCGAAGTTAGCGCTCCAGTTTACTTGTACCCTGATTTCTTCGTAGGAGTGAACTGCGCTAAACCCTGCTAGAGTAGAGGAGAGAGAGGGAGAGGAGAGGAAGGGGATTTCTTTGGGTGTTGTTTGGAAGTCGCAGATTGGGTGGGATGCTGTGCGGTTGCGAGGGGCGAATGGGTTGGGTTGACGATTTCAAAAGCCAAATTTCGGTTTGCGACATGGCGAAATCCCTGTGGGGTTTCGCCATGTCGCAAATTTGTCGCATCTTTTTTTGCGTATTTCTTGCGGGCTGCCCGCCAAGAAATACGCTAGCGTATTGCGTACTTAGCTAGCGTACAGCGTATTCGTATTATACGCTAGTGTATATACGCAATACGCTAGGCTGCCCAAGCGGATTTCTCCACTTAGGTAGTGCGGTGCAGTGTGTTGCTGTGTGCTGTAGTATGGTGCAATGCGGTGAAATGTGTGTTTGTGGTCTGGAGTCTGATGGACGGCTGACAGCGCACGAGGCTAAGGAGGGCATGCGGGAGCTCTTCCCCACTTTTACGGACGAGCAGGTGGGTGTGCTGGTTTGGTGCAGTGCGGTGCGGTGCGGTGTGGCTGCAATGTGCTGCAGTGCGGTGCGATGCAGTGTGTGTATGTTGTCGGGATGGCGATGGGCGGCTGACAGCGCATGAGGCCAAGGAGGGTATGAGGGAGCTTTTCCCCACTATTACAGATGAACAGGTGGGTGTGGCACGCTGTGCTCTGCGGTCAAATGCGGTGCAGGGGCGGTTACCCCGCCATCACTTACGAACAGGTGGGTAAGGTAAGGTACCTTATTCTCCCATACCTCATATTCCTCTCCTCACGAAATCCTCCTGCACCCATTCCACCTGTCGTGCAACCACAGCTAAGCCATGCGACTTTCTGGGGCTCAACAGCCAGACCTCCCTCTCCTGGGATGGGATGAGGTCTTCTCGCCCTCTCCTTTGTTCTCTCGTCCCTGTTACCTATCCTCCTCCCCCCCCCCCCCCCCCTATCCTTTTCCTGATCGTTGTATCAATTCCTTGCATCCCTACCACCTGTCCTGTGCCCACAGCTGACTAAGCTATGCGAGCTCCTAGGGCTCAACAGCAAGACCTCTCTCTCCTGGGATGAGTTTGAGCATTTTCTCAAGACCCACCCGGAATATCTGGTGGCGATTCTGGCTGCGGAATTGGGTGATGCTAAGGCAGAAGACGAGTGCAGTGAAGTGTCATTTGATGAGCCGAAGAAGATGAAGTAGACTAGGACGGTTCCAACCACATTGCTCGTTGCGTAAAATTAGAAGCTGTGTCATCTTGTAATCTTTTGATATTTTATTTTGCAGTTAGTAGCGTGGTTGGTGAAATGTGACACAAATTTACGCTTCTGGTTGGAGTGATAACATCATATCGCCCTAGATTGCCACTTGTTTCCTGAAGTGTTACCAAGTGCGGCTGCTTTCATGCTTTGGTCTAACGCACCAGTCACAGATTGTGTTGTGTGTGTCTCCCCAAAACCAGCCTCTCACCTGACAGGGAGTGCAGTTACAGTACAGAGAGTTTCAGGTGCTGGTCATTTGGTTGACCCTTGATGTTGGCTGCACAACCAATCACAGTGCACCCCTAATCTGCGACTCCTCGCCTCCACCTAACCCGTTGACACGCATCACCAGCTGTGACGCAATACTGACTGTCCGATCAGCCACGTCGCACATCTCTACCGTAAGATCGAGGCCATCTGGCATTTTGATCTTCCTGCGCTTCCCAGCCAATTTTATGCATCCCTCCCCACCCAACCAAACCATCTTCACTTCCACCCAGTGGTGCCACCCACCACCCACCCATCCCCTTCCTCCCTCACCCACCACCAGCCACCAACCAGACCATACCATTTCCAGCAGGGTCCTGAGAAGCAGATTCCAGGAGTATAAATTGCAGATTTTGATCTTCCATCTCCAATTCCAGCAACTAACCTAGCTGCAATTGCAGGTGCAATTGCTTCCTCATTTTCAGGGCTCCTCCAGTCAGCTCCCTACTTGTGTCGTCAGCTTGCTCGTCCTGCCATCACCCAAAACTCTCGTGCAAAGGTAGCTTCTTTATCTTTCATCTTCCGTTATTGGGAGGCTCTTTCTAGCCCACGTCTCGCGCTTCACGAAACCTATTTCCATCCGTTCGAATTCGAGTGTTGTTGGCTTACGTAATGTATTCTGTGCATCTTTTTGGTGCATTATCCGCAGGTCAAGATGGTGATGGATAAAAACGCCAAGATCTATGTGGCTGGTCACACCGGTCTGGTGGGATCAGCCATTTGCCGGAAGCTCAAGAAGGAGGGATACAACAATGTCATCGGGAAATCCATCGAGGAGCTTGATCTGACACGACAAGCGCTCGTCGAGGAATACATGAACGCGGAGAAGCCGGAATATGTCATTGTCGCTGCCGCGAAAGTCGGCGGAATTCACGCTAACAGCGTCTACCCGGCCGATTTCATCGGAATCAATCTTCAAATCCAGACCAATCTCATTGACGCCGCGTACAGGAGTGGCGTGAAGAAGCTTGTCTTCCTCGGATCGTCTTGCATCTACCCGAAGCTTGCTCCCCAGCCCATCACTGAGGATGCTCTTCTGACGGGTCCCCTGGAGCCGACGAACGAGTGGTATGCCGTTGCGAAGATCGCCGGGATCAAGATGTGCCAAGCTTACAGAATCCAGGTATGTTCTGGGAAAACGTCGGACTCGTGGCTTGTAAAATTCCACCGGCTGACTTTATCGAAGATCACATGTCGCGTTTCTAAATGGTACGCATGAAAGTCATCATTTACCTTGTTCCTTCCGTTCTACAATTGTATTTTCCCTTTCCTTCCTGCAGTACAACTTCGACGCCATCTCCGCGATGCCGACCAACATGTACGGCCCGTACGACAACTTCCATCCCACCAACTCGCACGTGCTGCCGGCTCTGATCCGCCGGTTCCACGAGGCCAAGAAGACCGGCGCCAAGGAGGTGGTCGTCTGGGGTACCGGCACTGCTCTCCGTGAATTCATGCACACCGACGACCTTGCAGGTATGAGCTCGCTCCCACACAACATGCATGTCAATACTCCACCGCGTGAAGGATTTTGTCTGAACGGCCTCGAAAGTGCATCCAACGGTCCTTCGTCGCCTGCAGTCTTACCCTTACCTGCGTCCCTTCAGAGATCCTAGCTTGCATGCCTCTCTAGACGAGTCGTTCAGACACTGCGAACACACGGAATTTCGGACCACGTTCGCGATTTTCCCTTTCGGCGTAAAATTCCCTTTGACAGCACAAGATTGTAACCACTGACAAGCACGTCACTTTGACTGCGAAGGTGGTGTTGGCGCTCCTAGCATTGGTGCCTTGTTACAAACTGTACTAATCTTTTCCACTTCCCCCGCTTGGTCTCGGCAGATGCGCTTCTGTTCCTGCTCAACAACTACAGCGACATTCCCCACCTGAACGTGGGAACGGGCATCGAGCTGACGATCAAGCAGCTGGCGGAGACGGTGAAGGAGGTGGTGGGATACGAGGGCGAGATCACGTGGGACACCACCAAGCCCGACGGCACGCCCAGGAAGCTCATGGACAGCTCCAACCTGCACAAGCTGGGGTGGAAGCCCAAGGTGGGGCTCAAGGAGGGCCTCACGGAGGTGTACAAGTGGTACCAGGAGAACTACAACGTCTGAGCAATGTCTGCGCGGTGCTGGCGGTTGGGGGCTTACCTCCACCAGGCTTGGGAACCATTTGGAGTACAAGCACCTTTCTTAGACGTCATTAATCGTTGATTGCTGGGATTCTTGTGGATATTTGCCTGCTAATATTTTTATAAAAATGTACAATCGAGCACTCTATTGGGATCACGTAGACAGCTCCAACCTCACGCTGGGTTGGAAGGAAGCCCATGGTGGAGCTGAAGGACCAGACAGACGTGTACAAGTGGCCCTACCTCTCTCTTCTCTCCCTGCACGAGGACAACTTTTCAATGGCTGAACATATTACTAGGTGTGCAAATGGTTGTGATGCTAGCAGCAAGTTTTGCTGACCTTGTGATAACAAATTCTGATCATGGGGTTGGTTGATTCCAGGCTGAGGACAAATTTTGTCGAGGTGCCCTATGCTAGGTTGTAAACAGTGTCCACCCAGGCTGTTTGAAGGAGGGGAATTTATAGGACAATCATAAGTACTGGTAATACACGAGGACAATAAGGTGAAAAAATTCTGCTTGCTCACACAAACCCTTTCAGCCCATCCCATGCTGATAAGGGCTGGGCTGAAAGGTCATATTGGCGTGGAATCATTGCTCTCTGCTACAGATTTCTCATGCCGCCATCCCAATATCCTCCCTGCACTATCATTTTCACTCTCCTCTGCAAGCCTGATACATTCATCAGCCACCGCAGACCCTCCTGGCAGCACGAAGGCGAAGGCACCCCCCTCCCTCTCCAATGCTTGCTCTGCCTCTCCAGTCCCATCCCCAGCTCCATCAACACATGCCCCATAGTTGCTAGCGATCGCAGCAGCAGCAGCAGAAGCAGAGCTAGCAGCAGCAGCAGCACCACCAGCAGCCGAACCAGCAGCCAAATCCGCAGAAAGGGAGACTTCAGTGGGAAGGCATTCCGGTAATATAAGTTGGTTAGAAGCACGTGCCACCTGGGCGGAATTTGCAGCGGCAGGGCTAGAGCCCAGGGAAGCAGTGGAGGAAGAAGCACCAGCAGCTGTGGACATTGAATCTGCTGCCCTTGCTGCTGCTGGTGCTGGTGGTGCTCTTGCTGCTGCATGTGCTGTTGTTGCTGCTGTTTCTGCAGTTTCTGCTGCTGCTGCGGTTGCTGCATTTGCTCCTGCTGCTGCTGTTGTTGGCGCTGCAGCATGCGGGGGCGCATCCAAGTGGTCAAAGAAGGAAAGCCAGCCCGGCGATCCCGAGGTGCTGCGGCCCTTCCTGTCGCCCACCACCCTCGTCATGCGCGCGTGCTGGTCTGCAGGGAGTGGAATGAGGGGGAGAGGGGGGGTAGAGAAAAAAGAACGGAGAAAGCAACCAGGCTCCTGAGATGAGTTGGTCCAAGAAGGACAGCCAGCCCAGCGATCCCGAGGTGCTGCGCTCCTTTCCGTCCCCACCACCCTGGTCATGCGCGCATGCTGGTCTGCAGGTGTAAAGAACGCAGCGTGAAAAAAACAGAGCAAAAAGGCACACAAAGAGGCATTTCAGGTGACAAGGTACGGCGGAGAGAGAGGGCAAACAACGAAATCCAGCCTGGTGACCCCGAGGTTGCATCAGTATGCGAAGGCACATGTCATTCAGCCTGGCTTTTCAAGTCAGGCTGCTTGAAGGCACATGTCATTCAGCCTGGCTTTTCAAGTCAGGCTGCTTGAAGGCACATGTCCATTCATGGAATTGCTGGCCGCTGGCCTCTCAAGTCGACTAAAAAGTCGTCACTGACTGGCAATCCCGCATGAAGCGGCTCGAAAGCATTCACTGACTCACCTGCAATTCTAATTAAGAGTCAATCCCCATGGAAAAGAGCTCGTATTCGGGGTGTCTATCCGCCAGGCTATATTCTCCCCCCTCCGCCATCTCCATGGCCTGATCTCGCAGTTGCCCTTCACAGTTCAAGAGCCCGTCCAACTGCCTGACAGTCCACTCACTGACGCACCTGCGATCATATTGTAGGTGATTTTTGAGAATTTTAAAAAATCGGCGTCGACCCCCAGGAGAAGAGCTCCACGACTCCGATCTCGCAGTTGGGCCCGGATTCAAGAATCCTTCCAACTGCCGCACTGTCCAGCTGAACCAGCGCATGAGGAACAACCTTCCGTATGTTAAGAACCTCCATCCTCAATCGCTCACCTGCGATCACCTCCGGCGTGAGACCCCAGGAGAAGAGCTCGCACTCCGAGTGCCTCACAGCCAGGCTGTACTTGCCCTCCTCCCCCATCTCCACCACCCTTATTTCACAGTTTCCAGGATTGAGCAATCCCTCAAACTGCCGCACGGTCCAGCGGAACCAGTGCATGAGGAACACCCCGCGTGGTGAGCCCGTGCGTCAACCCCCCTCCCACCCACCTGTTCCCTGCACCCGTATTGCAGCCAACGCACCTGCAATCATGTCCGGAGTGAGCCCCCACGAGAACAGCTCATACTCGGAGTGCCTCACAGCCAGGCTGTACTTGCCCCCCTCGCCCATCTCCATCACCCTGATCTCGCAGTTGCCCGGGTTTAAGAGCCCCTCAAACTGCTGCACGGTCCAGCGGAACCAGCGCATGAGGAACACGCGCGTGGTGAGTCCGTGCGTCACCATCACTATGTTCAGCGCCTTGCGGCGCGGGGGAGGAGGAGGAGCGGCGGGGGGAGGAGGACGCGTCGGAGGTGATGGTGATCCGTGATGTGTGGTTGAGATTGCACGCGCTGTGGCTGCATCGCCTCCCTTGCAGCGCACATCAGCAGCTGAAGCTGTAGCTCCCCCATCTTCCCTCCCTTGCGGGTGCTCCTCTCGACCAACTTCCAAAACAGCAGCCCCAGCAGCACCAGCAGCAGAGCTGCCAGCATCAGAACCACCACTACGGCCAGCAGTGGCATCAGCAACAGTGGGAGCAGCAGCAGTAGTGGCGGCTGAAGCAGGTGGGTGGGCGAGGGGAGGAGGAGGAGGAGGTGGGTGCAGCCGACACCAGTCTATGTCGCGCCACAGACTGTCCAGGAAACCTGAGAGTGACAGGAAAGGGGTTGGGAAGAAGGCACATTAGATAATAGACATTGCACCATGAACATTTGATAATAGACATTGCACCATGAACATTTGATAATAGACATTGCACCATGAACATTTGATAATAGACATTGCACCATGAACATTTGATAATAGACATTGCACCATGAACATTTGATAATAGACATTGCACCATGAACATTTGATAATAGACATTGCACCATGAACATTTGGTAATAGACATTGCACCATGAACATTTGATAATAGACATTGCACCATGAACATTTGATAATAGACATTGCACCATGAACATTTGATAATAGACATTGCACCATGAATAACTCACCGGTCACACGGTCATAGACATCAGCCGAAGACTCTCCCTCGGGGAATCGATAGAAGAACCGCCCAAAGCGCTGCCGCATGTCCTTGATCTGCCGCATGCGCTCTTGCACCTGGAGGGGGTAGTGGTGAGGGTGATGAGATGAGATGAGATGAGATTCTGGTGGTCATGTGTTGGCATTGCCGCATGTCCTTGATCTGCTGCATGCACTCTTAAACCTGGAGGGGTTAGTGGTGTGGTGTGGTGAGGTGTGGTGTGGTGTGGTGCGATGGGATGCACAAGGGGCGCTTATGTGTTCCGGTGGTCATCTGCCCACATTGCCGCACGTCCTTGGTCTGTCACATGCGATCCTGCACCTGGTGTGGTGTGCGGTTGTGTGGTGTGCACGAGGGGCGCTTATACACTTATGTGATTGTTGTGGCACGCCCTTGGTGTGCCTCATGTGCTTCTGCAACTGGTGGGAGGGTGGGGCGCAGTACGCAGGTGCTTGTCGGGAATTGAGTTAGTGTGCTCAGACGGATGTGATGTGCCTCACGTGATGTGCCGCATGTGATGTGCCTCATGTGATGTGCCTCAAGTGATGTGCCGCATGTGATGTGCCTCATGTGATGTGCCTCATGTGATGTGCCTCACGTTATGTGCCGCATGTGATGTGCCTCACGTGATGTGCCGCATGTGACGTGCCTCACGTGATGTGCCGCATGTGATGTGCCTCATGTGATGTGCCTCATGTGATGTGCCTCAAGTGATGCGTCGCATGTGATGTGCCTCACGTGATGTGCCGCATGTGATGTGCCTCACGTGATGTGCCGCATGTGATGTGCCTCACGTGATGTGCCGCATGTGACGTGCCTCACGTGATGTGCCGCATGTGATGTGCCTCATGTGATGTGCCGCATGTGATGTGCCTCATGTGATGTGCCTCATGTGATGTGCCGCATGTGATGTGCCTCATATGCCCGCATCGACGAAAGTCTCAGTCTCCCTAATGCACTCCTGCAGCTGGAGGGGGATAATTGTTATGAGATTGCCGAGGCGCGCGAGAGAAGAGGCCGGAACACAAAAACAACGAAGCAACATAGCAAGAGAAGAAGCTTGTCAGCAGCAAAGACAAAGTTCATTCAACAAAGTCCTCCCTCCCTCTCATACCTGGAAGTTTCCAAAGTCCTGCTCTCTCAGTCTCGGCTCCTCCCTCACCCCCAGAATGTGCCGCCGGTCAAATGCGCGCCCGATGCCACGCAGGGTCTGTATTGGGGAGGCGGAGGGGGAGGGAGAGGGGAAAGGGGGGGGGGGGGGTTTGGTTTGAGAGGCTTAAGCAGCTGTGATGGGGAAGACAGAAGCGCTAGTGCCTCTTAAAACCCTTGCTAGGCGCTAGCGCGCGCGACTTCTTGGATGCGGGGAAAGGCGTTAGCATGCAGAGAAAGGAGCGTTTTTCAGAAAATAGTAGATTCAGGGTTTTAACGTTTCGGGTTTGGGGTTGTAGGCCCATGTCACAGGCATGGTCTGGCTCCCTTCGCCAATTCCATGAGGAGTTTTTAAGAGAAACTCTTGGCCTTTCCTAACCCGAGAGTCACCTGAACAGTAGCTAAAATCACCTGAACTGTGTTCATAAGCACCTGAACAGTGCCAAAAGTCACCTGAAGAGTTCGCAGGTAAGGCGAGACGTAGAAATACACCCCCCAATCATCCTCCTCCTCCCCCGCTTCGTCAGTATCACCCCCACCAGAATCACCCTCCCCAGAAGAACCTCCCGCATTCTCCTTCCTCCCCTTCCTCCCCTTCTGCCCGTCGAGCTCAATTAGTCTCCTAATCTGCTTCCCCGCTTCCACGGCCTGCTCGAACCCCAACGGAGTTAAAGACACGCGCGAGTCTGCGATCCGGGTGTAGATGCCCTCGTCCACGTTCCCCTCGCTCTGCCCGTGTCGCACGAGGATGATCCGCGTCGGCCGCCGCAGAAGCGACTCGCGCGAGAGCGGATAGGACGGGTAGGCGGAGGAGGCTGGGCGGGTGGACGCGGGGAGCGGAACGGGAAGCGGAAGTGCGGGGTCATGGGGAGGGGAAGGGGAAGGCGGGGAGGCGGAGCGGGGGAGTTGGGGGGGATGGACTTGCGCAGAGGCGGCGGAAGATTCAATGGCGTTAGAGACGGCTCTCGACCCACCGCCACTTGCGGCGGCGCCAGCGGCGGCGCCAAGTGCGGCGCTGAATGCGGAAACCTGTGCGCCCGTCAACGGCGGTGGAATGGCGGGCGGCGGAAAGGCGGGCGGCGGGAAGAAGGCGGGCGGAGGGGAAACGGTGCGGCTTTGCGGCGCGGATCGACACGGGCCGTCCGCGTCATCCAACCCTAACCCCAAGCAGGAGAAGTCGTCAAAGATTTGATTCTGGGCCGATCGCTTGGCGTTCCGAGGCGCGTCGAACGACGGATCGTATTGAAATGTGCCGTTTTGGAAACTTCCGTGATCGATGAGATTTAAGCAGCAGAGATCGTCGAGCGAATGCTTGAACGATTGAGGCATGGAGCAATCCGCTGCCACGTCATCGCGCGATCTGGTCTGCGTGAATCGCGGCGCGAGGCACGCGGGAGGAGGGGAACTGCGGAGCCCGTCGGATAGGCTGGGCGCAGCGGGGTAAGCGGAAGGATCGCGCGACGCGGGAAAAGGGGAGGGATTGGGCGAAGCGGGGAGACCTGACGCTGAAAGCGGGCGAGGGTGGGCGGAAGGAGATTCCACTTCAGTCGTCGCGTCAAAGATGCACCGTTTTGATGGCGGCGCGTCGTTAGAAAGCGTCCCGCTCGGGCCGCGCGGAAAGTCCCGATCCGCCATTGGCGGCCTGCAGCGGAGGTAGGAGGGCGGATTCTATCGTTTATGGCAGCTCGTGTTGTGTGATGCACTGGGGAAAGTAGAATGTGTGGTATAGTGTTGTCTTGTTAGGACGAAGTGTGTACGGTGACCACCAATTCGTCCTTGTTAGGGATGCACATTTCAGAACTATAGCTGTGCTTCATAACGCGTACGCACAACCCAACTGGTAACCAGAGAGCCCTAGCGTGAAATTACAGAAGTACCGCACAGGACTGCCCTGCATCCATACGCAACTGTTAATTGCCGAACCTGAGGTTAAGGTACTTTCCCATTTCTCAAATCTGCGCCGAAGCCAAAACCCGTTAGGTTAGGTCTCGCCCCTAGCCGCGAGACGAGCTTCGTTTGGTCGTCGTCGTTGTATCCCCCCTCTCCTGGCCGACAACCATCATCATAGCCGCCGTTGTCGTCGTTGGCTTTGTCTCTCCGCAAGCTCGCTGATCACGCGTTCAGTTTGTGATTGGGAATTCATACGGGAGGTAACAATCATGACCCCCGCTAACACAGGAGGCTACTCCGAAAACACGAGCGCCAACTTTCTTTTTTTGGTGGTTTACCGTAGCGCCACACTCCCGTAACACGGGAAGTGACTCTACCCAGTGCCAGTTTCACACGAACGCAAACTTGACGATACAGCCGCCCGAAAATGACCCGTTCCATCCCGTTTTCCCGTTTTCAATAAGGGTGGCGTTGCGGTAAATCACACCAAAAAAATTGGGGTCCGTGTTAGCGGCGTGACCTCCTGTGTTAGCGGGGGTCATGATTGTTACCTCCCGTATGAATTCCCTTCGTGATTCGTGCGTGAATCTCCGAGGGCATTCGGCCGGAATGTACCTGGTGGTAAAACCCGACGCAGGACACAAACTCATCATTCCTTCACGTTCAAGCCGCTGTCTTATTCAGGAATCTTTGCTGGTGATCACGTGCCCCTTATCCTAACCTACAGTGCTTGTTTGGGTCTTCTGGGGGACCTAGTCAATTCATGTTGAGGGGCACCCAACCAAACTGCATCAACAGGCTCGGAGAACTCGAAACTACACACTGGAAAATTGGAGGAGATCGCGTGATTTGACAAATGTTTTTAAAAAGTTATACTGATCGACGCTTTTACGCGCGATGTATGGCATGCCCTTGTTACCCAAAACGGCCGACCCCTCCCCCCCCCGACTGTACCCGTTTTCGTTTTGATGTGTCGAATATGGGAAATATAATTTTGGGTCGCTGTGAAAACATTTGCCGGATCCCAAACTCAATTGTTGCTGGAACATGCATTTAGTGGTTCGCGACAAAAATCTGCCCGCGCCTACCCGTCCCCTGCACCTGGCATGAACGCTCGTGTTGGAGTCATCTGACTCTCGCAAGGGTGGAGGCTTTCGTTTGGTTTTTGGGGCACCCGTCAAATCCAGATATCTGGCCAAAGCTACCCGTCAGAATCCGTCTTCAGCACTCTGTTCTGTCAAAATTCACCTGTCAAATCCGGGTTTCACTGCCAGTTCTGCCAAAATTCACCCGTCAGAATCCGGGTTCAACCCTGTTTTTGGAAAAGTGCCCCTTCGGAATCCGAGTTCAGCGAAAACCTCACCCGCTATTTGTTTTCGAAATCCGGACTTTGCACCCAAAATGATTGCATGTGCCTTTTTCGAATGCCACAGCCCTTAATGTGCCGTCATTGTTTGTCGTATTGGACCCTACACTTGCTGCCCAAACCAGTTGCCCCGAAAAAACGTAGTGGCATCTGAACCCAACACGAAAACGGGTACAGTTGGGGGGGTCGACCGTTTTGGGTAAAGAGGGCATGCCATATATCGTGCGCAAAAAGGGTCGGCCGTTTGAAAAAAAATCTTGTTTTAGTTAAAGCGCGCGATCTCCTCGGGAAGGTGGGAGCAGTTGGTTATCGCTGGCGTTGTGTGAGCAGCCTGTATTGTTAGGTTCGGGACAAGATACCCTGAAGATTCCACGTCACTCTAGGCGGTTCACCTTGCACCACAGAAGTTTCGGTTTCATTTCAAACACAGGTTCGCTTCTGATACTTTCAAGGCCACTTGAGGGTGCCTTTCCACCTTTACCCCTTCCTCAATTCCAGTTGGGTTTGATGGGGATCAGTCGGAATTTCTCACCAAACCGATCCCGTGAGTTCAAAGGCCCAATAAGGAGTGAGGTATACTGGGCGTTCGGGTTTCTGTACTGTATTTCTCGGCTTGATCTGAGTTACCACCCTGTTTATAGGAGGCATCGCTACACTTTGAACAAGTCTTGCGGTTTCGGTTCCCCCGTCTTTCCGCCCCCCTCTGTTCCTGCTGCTCAAGTGGGCAAAACTCACGTCCCTCAAGCGTGCCCCATTTTCGTTTCTTGTAGCGGAGGCGCTGCCTTCCTCCCTGCTCTGCTGCCTGGTTGTCCCTCCACCTCCCGACCCTCGCAACTCATCAAATCAAACCCATCATCTGTGCGGTTGCTGTTCGAGAGAGCGTACCACAGTTGGGGGATAGGATTGGCTATCTTTCGCAGTGCGGGATGGTGCAAAGGACCACCCACCCGCTCGAGTCGAATCGGTTGCAGGTCAGTCAAGTGTCGTCGTGTCGTCCTACTTGGCTTGGCACCAATGCCGAGAGAGCTCATTGCACATCGCACAACAACACAGCGCGGGTTGTATGCTGCTCTACCTCCTACGGCGGCCACGCGCGAACTCCTCTCTGGCACTTGCCCTCCGTTCCGCGTGTCTCTACCATTCAATTCACTCGCCCTGTCTTGGATGGGATACTAGTCCAGCCGGAGTCTGTCTGCCCCCACGTGAAACCCTCACCCCCGCCATGCCAGTCTCGTCGTGAGCCGCGCTCCGCGTTTCTTTATTCCCGCCATCGGCGCCATTGGCGCAGAGCAGAATAGCTTGTGGTTGAAAACGGTTGCATTGCATCCCTTAGTTTCCGTTCCGTCCGTCCGTACTCTGCCTGCCGAACCGCCTCGAAGACCCACGTGGTCTTTGAACATAGAAGCTCATCTCACACTTGGTTCGTCCCAGAACCGTCCACTCTCAGTTCGCCGTCACACGGTCGCATTTTCCGTCAGGCCGCACTAACAATCCTTTAAATTAGAAACCCCGTCGATGGTGTTACGCGGGGTCCAAAAACTCTTTGCCACCGCTTTGGAACCTTTTCGAGAAAGAAACTCCGCCTTGGCGATTCGATGAGTCACTCTGTAACCGGCGCCCACCCTTCTGAGATTGCGCTGTCCTCGGTTGGCGGCGCGCCTGCCGGCTCAGACTTTCCACGGTAAGGGGCTCCCTGCGGCCCGAGAGCACTAGTAGTAGTAGTGAAAGTCAATTCGCCTCACTTGTACTAGGTGTGCTGCTAGTAGTTCCCGTGGCAGTGGCTGCTGTAGGCCATGGCTCCACGAGCCGCGTCATCGCTGCAGCCCGTTCACCGCGGCGGACCTTTCGTCAAACCCGCGCCTCTGGCCGCGAATCCCTCACAAAACGTCGCGACGGCCCATAGCAGCAGCGGCGGTTTCTTGCCGCCGGCGAGTGACAGCCGGCCGACAATAGTGCCGGCGAAGGCGGTCGAAGCAATGGCGGTGGCGTGGGCCCGCGATGTGGATTGGAAGGGTGCGCCGGTCGTCCAGGAGAAGTGCGACGGGTCGCTACAGCAGCCAGCGGCGGCGATTACTCCTCAGAACTGGCCAAAATCGGCGGGAAAATCGCAGCTGTTCCGAAACTCGGCGGTGTCGCTCCAGGCCCTCGAGCCAGTGGCGGGGGACTCGCGCCACCCGTGGCCGCTTCTGGCGCAGTCGCAGCGGAGAAATTGCGGCTCGCCGTCTGAGCGCCCAGGGGCTTCTTCGCTGAGCCCCGCAAGACTGCTATTCGCGACTCCTGGGGCTGGTTCGTCGCAGCCAGTTAGGGTTCCGGAGCTGACTGCCGCGAGTGGGCCTTTCGCGACTACTGTGGGTCGCATGCCCTGTTCGTCGCATCCACCGTCGTCGCTCGACGGCGCGAAAATTCGCAGCAGCCCTGGGTACGCTGCGACGAGGGAGCTGCGAACGTGTGAAGGTAACGCGGCCAGTGTTACGGCGACGCAGCAGCAGCACCTTCCGGGATTGATTGGTCAGCATCAATTTCAGAATTCACAAGTTTCGCAAGAGTTCTTGCGAGGAAGTCCACGTGTACGCGGGTTCCCGGACGCCGTGGCGCGCCGAACTAACGACAGCAGGAGCTGGCTTTCGGATAGTGAGATTTTGGCGATGCAGCTTTCTAATTCGGGCAGGCAAAATCAGTTCGGGCAGGTAGCTGAAAAACTTTTGGACTCCGATATGGCGAGAGGTGATACAATCGAGGGTGACGGACGCGAAGGTGACTTAAGCAGGGGTATCTTTCTGCGGAAGAGATCTTTCATGCGTTCCATGACTACAGGTACAGGAGACGGTTGGAAAGGAGAACGCCTTATAAAAGGCGAAGTGGGAGAAAATGGTTGGGAAACGGAATGCCCTCTAAAGAGTGCAAAAACCACACCTACCGCTCATAGGGCTGTAGCTCAGGATGATCCTTTCCCAAGTTCTGATACTGACGTGGCAGAGATGACGCAAGACGATGACGTGGCGCTACAACTGCAGCTGTATCTGCTGAGGCGGCGGCAGCGGCAGCAGCTGAGACTGCTGATGGAGGAACGACAGGCGGAGCAGCAACCAGCGCCGCTTGCTGAGCTGGCAATGGTGGAGAATGAGATGTTGGCGACACAGCAGCTCTTAGGAAGGCAGGCTCAGCTACAGCAGCGACAGCAGCAGCAGCTGAGAGATCAGCAGCAGCTTCAGCAGCTGCAGCAGCAGATGCTGCAGGAAAAGCAGCAACAGCAGATGCGGCAGCTACAGGAGCAGCAGCAGAGGCAACAGCAGCAACAACATCAGCAACAGGAGCAGCAGCAGCAGGAGCTAAGGCAACACCAGCAACAGCAGGAGCAGGAGCACCAGCAACGGCAACAGACGCTGGAAGATGAGATTACAAGAATGATTCAGCAGCAGCAGCAGCAGCAGCAGCCACAATTGTCTAATCAGCAGCAATGGTGCCCATCACAGCGGCAGCGTCAGCAGCAACCACTGCTTGGTCACGCACAAGCCACGCACCCGGCACGGGATGCACGGGGTGCACTTGAAGCCTTGATGCTGCACGCCTCAGCTCCGGCAACCAGACCTGGCCCTCTGGTTCGGCCCAGCGCAACCACTCAGGTTCCTCCCACCGGGCTTGGGTTTACCCAGGAACAGAGGGCAGTGGCAGCAGCAGTAGGAGTGAGGGATGGGGAGAAGAGGGCTGGGAAGGGAAGTGCTGCAAAGTCTTCCAGCAGCAATCCAGCTGCAATTCTCGAGGCTCTCTTTGAAAAGTCCTTCAAGGAGAGGAATCGGAAGTCTGGAGCCGGCAACAGCTGCAACGGTAGGGAGAGTGGGTCACGTACTGTGGGGTCGCCTGTGGAGCAGGTGGCTGGGCAGCATCAGGGTCAGGATCTATATCAAGCATGCAGACAACGCACCCCGCCCCGAATCAGCAGCTGCGCAGCTCTTTCTGGAGTTCCCAATGGAGTGCCGGGCATGTCTTCCCAGCTCGAGACTTTCCGCCTGTTGAGTGCTGCTCTCAGCGCATGTGAGCCGTTGGATCCGGCTCTGTACACGTGTCAGCATCTGGACGAGCCGTACCTGGACATGCCTCTGCAGGAACTGGAGGCGCTTGAGAGCCTGCTGATGTCTCCACGGGCTACCTATTCTGATCACAAGGGTGCTCCTGCTGTCTTGGCCATGGATCCTCCAGGCCGATCGGAGTCGCATCCAAGCCAGGCTTCTGCATCTGCCAGTGCTTATCTTGGGAAGGTTGGTGCTGTTGCTGCTTCACCTGCAGTTGCTGTTGCTGCTGGTAGTGCTGGCGGTGCTGTTTCAGTTGCTACCTCGGCTGCGTCTGGTGCATCCATGTCAGCAGCGTCTGCACCTCCTTCCACGATGCCTGTGCTTCAGGCGTGGCATAGCTCACACTCAAGCTCACAATCATGCTTAGCTGATGGTGGTGCGGTAACTGCCTCACTGACACATCCGGCCTCGGTGTTCCCAAGCAGGCCGGGGTAGGCTCTGTCATACCTACAGGCTTGACAAGGGCGTGCTTTATAAGTAGCCTCATACAGCTCTTCCATTTCCAACTTAGTCATAAGCCCACAAGCCCATGGCATACATTTTTGCCTTTCTTGTTTATTTGTAAAATGCTTGTATTCATCATGGCACCATTAGGTGCAACAAAATAAAGATTCAATATGTATATTCTATTTCAGCCAAAAATATGGCCGTCTAACGTAATTAAAATTGTTTTATACAATATTGCATTGATGTGAGCTCCCAAAATTGTTTGGGTATGCGTGACAGCAATTTTCACAGTGGAAAAGAAGATTTTACAAGCACTTCCGCTGTAGAAACCAGATCAGTGTTGACACAGTCACTACCGGAGAAGGCTGCTTTGGCTTGGACGGCCTGGTCTGGCGCTGGCGCACGAACTCGCGGGTAGCGGGAACTGGCTGATGCGAACCAATCACCAAGCAGTACGCATTTCCCCCTCCACCAGCCTGGCTATCTAGATCCGGTGTCGTGTTCAATGAGAATAATTTGTCTCTCAATCAAGCTCAAATTGCAGATTCTTTTCGCTTTGTTCCAGGTTGGAAAAGGCGGCTGATCCGACACAGCTTCTGCCACTTCCTTGTTCTCTTGGGAGAGAATAGGAGCTCAGCAAGGCGGCCCGTCTATCCCACCACCTTCCAACGCAGGCGCGAATTCCACTTCGTTCCGAGGCGCGTCAAGCAATGGCTGGTGAAGGTGAGCCGTGGTACGGAGGAAGTGGGGCAAATTAATTCTCACCTGTGGAGACAAGCTACCATCGACGCCCCTTCGCTTCATCGACATAGATGAATAAAAGCTATCTCGAGCTGTAAGAGACGCTATATAAAGCAGCTGCGGCCACGACTAGAGACGACCGGGCGCCGAAAGCCTTCTGTGCCTTGATAACAAAATCGTGCGGGGAAAGAGTGGCGTTTCTCGTGTCGGCATAATCTAGGAGCTTCATGCTCGAGCGAGTAAGGTGCGCGGTTCAGGAATGGCTTCTAAAGAATCACAAAGAAAATGCCAGGAAGATGTCTCCGATAAACGTCAGTCTACGATACGCGCTAGTGGCGCTCGCGCGCACACAGTCTGGCACGCGACTAACGGGTCGATTTTTCAGGCCGCATCATCATCATCCGGACCGCAAGGATCGACGCGTCGCGAAACCCTGGCTGTAGTCGTCACACTGTGGCTGCTGACGTGGACACCGTTATTGTCACCCTCGCCTGTGGCATGCGCAGCAGCTGTCAGTGGGGTAGGAGGTTGGACGGGTGGGGTAAGTGGCGCGGCAGCGGGGACGCCGCGCGTGCTGCGGCGTAGTCAGTATATCGTGACACTAGCGTCCGTGCCGCCCGTGCTGTCGTATCGCGGAGGGCTGGCCGGCTTGTCTGCTACCGCGTTGCCTGATGACGAGGATGAGGAGGCGGAAGGGGAAGAAGAGGGAGGGGATGCGGAGGGGGGAGCGGAGGCGGCAGGGGAGGGGCCAGTAGGAGGGGAGGGGGGCTTGCTTCCTTCCGCCAACGTTACTGTTTCCAATGCATCTGTTCCTAACGGGACTGCTTATAGCGGAGCAGCGGTTTCTCGCGCGGGCGTAGGTAGAACGAGGGTAGTAAACAGCAACAAGAGATGGCTGGAGGGCAGGGCGATAGCGCAGGCTAGGGTAAATTACCCTCACAGAGCTGTCAAAATTGGCGCGGTAAGGGGCAACAAAAAGTTGCCGATAGTAGTGGGGCAGCCGCGGGCGATCCCCATGTTGTCGCGTCCAGATGTTCGCATGGCACATGTGCGATCCTTCGTGCGATTCCTGAAACAGTCGCACAGGCAGCTGCTGGCGACGCTCAACATCTCGAGCCGTGCGATATACCAAAGGTACCAGGCCCTGACGCGTCATCGGCTGCTTCACGGGATGTGCTTCACGGGATGTGCTTCACGGGATGTGCTTCACGGGATGTGCTTCACGGGATGTGCGTGTAAAGGAGGGAAAGGGAGAGCGGAAAAGAGAGGGAAGGAGAGAGGAAATGAGATCCGCCCTTCCCGCAACCCCCTCCCCCTGCACGCCCGTTTACTACCCGCTTTCCCTCACGCGCCTTTTCCCCCCTTTTCCCCCCCCCCCACCTTCCCCCTTCCCCAGCTACACCTATACTTCCAACGGCTTTGCCGCCTCGCTGACGTCAGCAGAAGCGAGAAGATTAAAGCTTCACCCGGCAGTAGCGGCGGTGGAGGAAGACTCTTATCTCCCCGCGCTAACCTCTGCCCGCGACTCGGGAAGTTTTTTTCAGCTGCCCGAGGACGCGGAGGTCGGGCAGGCGGAGGGCAGTAGGAGGAGAAAGCTGACGTCTGATTCGCCGGGGTTTCTTCGGCTGCCCGGATCGCTGTGGGCGGCGAACGGCGGGCAGGATAATGCCGGAGAGGGGGTGATTGTAGGGGTGATTGACACGGGCGTGTGGCCGGAGCATCCGTCATTCGCTAACACAGTAAGTATTAAACAAGGAAATGGTGACATGATAACGAGGCTGTTAACAAGCAGGTGATTGACACGGGGAGTGCTGGCGTGGGGCCATCGATAGGCGATAGGCCGCGTCAGGCTTCTACGTACTTTCCTTGGGTCTTAGGCATCTCCGAACTTCACTCTGCCCTCTCAAGCTGATCCAAGCCTGCTTCTCTCTCTCCCGCTCCTCCTCTCTTCCTCTATTCCGTTCCCCCAGCCATCCAACCCCTGCAGCCCCACTCCCCGCAGGCGCTGTTCTCGCAAGCTCTTGCTTCTTCCTCTCCCCCTCCTCTCGCCCCCCTCCTCTCGTCCCCCTACTCTCGTCCCCCTCCGCTCTTCCTCCTCCCCGGGGCCGTTGCCCCAGCCGACCAACCCCTACAGCCCCACTCCCCCCAGGTGGCGGGGGAAATGCCCAACGACCGGAGACTTCCCCAACGCGCTGTGCTCTCGCAAGCTGATTGTTGCTCGCCTTTCCCTCTTATCCCTCCCCCCTCTCTCTCCCCCCTCTCTCTCCCCCCTCTCTCTCCCCCCTCTCTCTCCCCCTCTCTCTCCCCCCTCTCTCTCCCCCTCTCTCTCCCTCCTCTCTCTCCCCCTCTCTCTCCCCCCTCTCTCTCCCTCCTCTCTCTCCCCCCTCTCTCTCCCTCCTCTCTCTCCCCCCTCTCTCTCCCTCCTCTCTCTCCCCCCTCTCTCTCCCTCCTCTCTCTCCCCCCTCTCTCTCCCTCCTCTCTCCCCCTCCTCTCTCCCCCTCCTCTCTCCCCCTCCTCTCTCTCCCCCCTCTCTCTCCCTCCTCTCTCCCCCTCCTCTCTCTCCCCCCTCTCTCTCCCTCCTCTCTCCCCCTCCTCTCTCCCCCTCCTCTCTCCCACTCCTATCTCTCCCTCCTCTCATTGCTCCCCCTTCAACCCCCCAGCCGTCCAACCCCTACGGCCCCACTCCCCGCAGGTGGCGGGGTAAATGCCAAGCGACCAGGGACTTCCCCAAGTCGCTGTGCTCGCGCAAGCTGATCGGCGCGCGGTACTTCGCTGCAGGGGTGCAGAAGTCCGCGGCGGGAGTGAACAAGGAGAAAGACTTTCTGTCAGCACGCGACGGGGACGGGCACGGCACGTGGTGCGCCAGGTGCGTTGGGTATGGGCTAGAGGTAGGTGGGAGGTAGGTGGGCGGTAGGCGGTACTTTGCTGCCGGGGTGCAGAAGTCGAAGGCGGGGGTAAGCAATGAGAAAGACTGTCTGTCGGCACGAGATGGGGATGGGCACGGCACGTGGTGCGCCAGGTGTGTGGGTTTGTAGGTGGGAGAGTGGATATGGTTTGTAGGTGTTGGGTGATGCTTTGCAGTGGGGGTGCAGAGGTCGAAGGCGGGGGGGTGGAGAGGTCGAAGGCGGGAGGGTCAAGGACTTTCTGACTGCGTGCAACAGGGTGCATCATTTGATGTCACAGCATGGCACCCGGTGTGCCATCTGGCACCCGGTGTGCTCCATCCTCTATCCTACAGCGCAGCAGCAGGATTCTCGGATCCTCAGCCAACGTGCCTTTCGCTCTCTCCTCGTCTGACGCCTGACTCTCACAGTCGCCTCTCCTTCCCCCTCTCTCCCCCCCCCTCATCTGCAGTGCGGCAGCAGGCAACGCCAACATCCCTCTGGCCATCTCCGCGTCTCGCACCCTGGGGTCCATCTCGGGCGTTGCACCCAGGGCAAGGCTGGCAGTCTACAAGGCCCTCTGGGTGACGCCAGGCGGGGAGGCAGGGGCGTTTACGTCAGACATCCGCGCAGCCGTTGATGCGGCCGTATCCGACGGTGTGGATGTGCTCTCGTGCTCGTTCGGAGGAGCCGTGTCTCGATACTTCAACGACTTGCCTTACCTGCAAGCCCTGAAGGTTCGCGGGTGTGGGACAGTGGTCTGTGTCGTGGTGCGATGTGATGTGGTGTGGTGTGGTTTGATGCGGTGTGGTTTCTTCATGTTTCAATCGTGGAGAACCCTCCAGTGCTCACCTGCTGTCTATGTTCTATGTGCCTCAAAGATGGACTCCCCCCGCACGCAGTGTGATTTCTCAGTGCTACGTTCAGGTGTGTTTCGAGTCAACTCATTCCACACGTGTGGTTTCTCTGGGCTGCGTCCATAATTTCTTTTGAGTCGACTCTAAAGTCGAAGTTGAATGACTTTGAGTCGATTCTAAAGTCACTTGCTGTCTGTTTTTTATGTGCCTCAAAGATGTACTCCCCATACATGCTGCGTCTTGGTGCTGCTGCATTCTTAAATCCAACGAACCTTACTTGATTTTTGAGTCGACTAAAAAATAACGAACCTAACTTTCTGCGGATGTGCTTCAAGCATAAACAGCGTGGAGCCCCTTCCAGTGTTATCCCAGTACCAGCTGAGCTGCCTTCCACCCAGCACGATCCCATTCTCCCTCCTCTCTCCCCTCTCTTCTCCTCTACAGGCCGGAGTGTTCATCTCCTTTGCAGCGGGCAACAGCGGGGCGGCCTCTGGAGGTCAAATGCTGGGCACACTGTTGGGCACTCTAGCACTCACCAGCCTCAGAACTATCTCTAGCACTCTAGTACTCGTTGCCACCCCACTGCCGCCCTTCCTCTCTCCCCTCTCCTCTCTCCAGGCCGGGGTGTTCATTGCCTTCGCTGCGGGGAACAGCGGGGCGCCCTCTCGAGGTCAAATGCTGGGCACTCTCAGCAACACGGCGCCTTTCTACCTCACTGTGGGGGCCAGGTGAGACTCGGGTTGACTTGGGTTGACTGTGGTTGACTTGGATTGACTGGTTGACTTGGGTTGAATGCGTCTGGTCAAATGCTGGGCACACTCAGCAACACGGTACCCTTCTATCGCACTGTAGGGGCCAGGTGAGTTGCATTGACTGCAGTTGACTTTGCTTGACTGTGTCTGGTCAGCTGCTGGGCACACTCAGCAACGTGCCACCTTTTTACCTCACCGTTGACGCTAGTTGAGACTCGGGTTGACTTTGGCTGACTGTTGCCGTCAGTTGTCAGCTGCTGGGCACACTCAGCAACGTGCCACCTTTTTTCGTACTTCTGGGGCTAGGTGAGACTCACGTTGACTTGGGCTGACTCGGATTGACTGGAGTTGATTTAGGCTGACTGTTGCCGTCAGTTGTCAGCTGCAGGGCACACCCAGCAACACAGCACCAGTCTATCTTGCTGCCGAGGTTATGTGAGACTCGGGTTGACTACACTCATCACCATAGGCCTAACTCCCACCCCCCTTCACCTCCCTCCCTCCCACCCCCTCTCCCCATCACCCCATCAGCACCATAGGCCGTGACTATATGGCCAACCCCACCCTCGGCACCGCCATGCAGCGCTCACATGACTGAAAATAGGGCTCCCTCTCTACCCTCCCCTTCCTCCCTCTCTACCCTCCCCTTCCTCCCTCTCTACTCCCAGCACCATAAGCTGCTACTACCAGGAAAACCTCACCCTGGGCAACGGCGCGCAGCTCATAGGATTGTTACCCAAGTGTAACCTGACACTCTTCCCTCTCCATCTACCCTCCCCTTCCTCCCTCCCAGCACCATAGGCCGCTACTGCCACGCGAACCTCACTCTCAGCAACCGCGTGCAGCTGACAGGGGTCAGCTCTAGAGTGTTCATCAGGTGCAACATCCCATCCCTTCCTCTCTATTCCCCCTTCCTCTCCCCCATTCCTCTCTCCCCCCTTCCTCTCTGCCCCACTCCTCCCTCCCCACAGCACCATAGGCCGCGACTACCAGGCGAACCTCACCCTGGGCAATGGCGTGCAGCTCACAGGGCTCAGCTTTGGCGGCACCCAGGACTCGAGGGACCTGCCTCTGGTGCTCTCCAGCGCTGCTGTGCATCCGCTGGGGACACTGAGCCTGGTGGGTGCGTGTGTGCAATTGTGACATGGTGCGTGCATGTGTGCTCTGGTACAAGGTGTGACCTGAAGGACTCGAGGGACCTGCCTCTGGTGCTCTCCAGCACTGTGCACCCGCTGGGGACACTGACCTTGGTGGGTAGCAGAGTGACCTGGTGCGCGCATGCGAGTACAACGCTCCAGGTACCTTCAAACTCAGGAATCAAGGGACCTGCCTCTCGTGCTCTCCAGTGCTGCTGTTCTTCCACTGGGGACACTGAGCCTGGTGGGTGGGGCATAGGGTGTTGTGTGATTCAGGTATTGGGTGTCCTGCAACGGCGTCCAGTGCAGCTTACTGGGCTCAGTGGTGGCACTCAGGACGCCGGGGACCTCCGTCTCGTGCTCGCCAGCGGTTACGGCATGTGGGCGTGTGGGCCTTTGTGACATGGGTGCTCTGGTACACGGTGCGGCAACCAGGATTCCAAAAACCTCCCTATTGTGCTCTCCAGTGCTGCTGGTCATGCTCTCCAGTGCTGCTGGTCATGCTCTCCAGTGCTGCTGGTCATGCTCTCCAGTGCTGCTGGTCATGCTCTCCAGTGCTGCTGGTCATGCTCTCCTGTGCTGCTGGTCATGCTCTCCAGTGCTGCTGGTCATGCTCTCCAGTGCTGCTGGTCATGCTCTCTGGCCGCACGCTGGTCTGCACCCTCAAGACCAGAGACAACACCCTTCTTCTCTCCCTCTTTCCCCTTCTCCATACTCCATACTCCGTACACCATACTCCGTACTCCATACTCCATACTCCATACTCTGTACTCCGTACTCCGTACTCCATACTCCATACTCCATTCTCCACTCCATACTCCATACTCCATTCTCCATGCTCCATGCTCCATGCTCCATACTCCAGGCCCGCAGTCTCGATTGCGTCTCCTCGAGTCTCGACAAGTCCAAGCTATCTAGTTGCATGCTCGTTTGCAACTTGAAATCGTGAGACATCAAAGAGGCGATGACCGATACCTCTACTCTCGGCACTGCTTCCATGCTGCTGCTCGCTGGCTCAGCTGACTCATAAGACATATCCCCCTCCCCACTTCCCCCTTCCCCTTCCCCTTCCCGCATATTACTCCAGGCCCGAGATTGTTTCATGACTGCCACCTGGACTCTTGGCGCTGCTGCCTTGCTGCTGCTCGCTATATCTGAGTCTGAAAGAACCACTCTCCCCTCCCCCCCCCCCCTCCCTCCCTTCCTTTGCTCCCAGGCCCGTGAGTGCTTCTCCTCGAGTCTCGACAAGTCCAAGCTATCGGGCCGCATGCTGGTCTGCAACCTCAAGACCAGGGATGTCAAAGAGGCGATGGCTGACACCGCTACAACTGCTGTGGGCGCTGCTGCCGTGCTGCTGCTCGCTGCGTCCGAGTCTTCCCCGGTTCCGTCGCGCATCCCCTTTACTGACATACCCGCTATCCACCTGAACGCGGAGCAGTCAGAAACTGTGCGCCAGTATCTGAGCAAAGCTACCAAGTAAGGCAGAATGCAGCCCATGTGCACAGTCCAATTTGATGCAGATTTTAGGCTCTTCACTTAAATGTGTGTGTGTGTGTGTGAGTTTTTTTTGTTTTTTAAGACTAAAAAGACTCTCGCAGTCAGATGGTGTGCGGCAGAACCTTATTCGAAGGTGCGTAGATAGTCTCTCCCGCCTCAGCGTGCATCATCCCCTTTACAAACACGCCCATTATTCACCTGGATGCTGATCAATCGGTTATCGTTTGGCCATCATACTTCTCTGACACCGCCCGCTCAGTCGCCTTCTCTTCCTCCACTGGTCCCCCCCTGCCCACCCCCATTCCTTCCTTTACTGTGTGTCCTTCCCTCCCTCCCCTCCTATCCCTTGCCCTTCCCCAAGCAGTCGCACAGCCTCCCTCTCCCCGCCCTTTCTCTTTCTCTGACGCCGCCCCAACATTCTCCTCAACGGGCCCACCTGTCAACTTCCCCTTTCTGATTACCCTTTGTGTCCACCCCTCCCTCCTGCCCTCATCCCCCCACCCTCCCCCGTAAGCAGTCCTACAGCCTCCCTCTCTCCACTCTTCGTCACCTTTTCCGATGCCGCCCCATCAATCGCCTACTTCTCTTCCACGGGCCCGCCTGGCACCTTTCCCTTTCTGAACACCTTTTGTGTCCACCCCTCCCTCCTTCTCTTACCCCACCCCCTCCCCCACCCCCCCTAAGCAGCCCTACAGCATCCCTCTCCCCTCACTTTGTCACCTTTTCCGACTCAGCCCCGACAGTGGCCTACTTCTCCTCCACAGGCCCCCCTGTCAACCCCGCCTACCCCTTCACACCACGTGTCCTTCCTTCAGACGACATCATCAAACCCGACATCATCGGCCCGGGCTTCCAGCTCTGGGCTGCTTACAGAGGGAACAAGCCCTCCTTTTCCTCTCAGTCCGCCTCCGCTTCATCCTCGTCCTCCCCCTCTTCCACTCCTTCCTCCTCTCCATCCGTCTCCTCCACCCCCTCCTCTTCCTCTTCCTCCTCCTCCACCCCAACCACCCCCTCCTCTTCCTCGGAGTCCCCCAAGTTCGCCTATCTCTCCGGAACCTCTATGGCAACCCCCCACCTGGCCGGCATTGCCGCCCTAATCCTCCAGAAACATCCAAAATGGTCGCCCGCCCAAGTCACATCCGCAATCATGACAACTGCCTACACCACCAACAGGCTCGGAAACCCCATCCGCCGAACCACCAGCTCCGGCAAAAAGAGCACCGGAAAAACGGTCGAAGCAACCCCATGGGACATGGGCTCGGGGCATGTTGACCCAACCCGGGTACTCAACCCCGGGCTTACGTTCGACGTGGGTTACAAGGACTACGTAAATTTTCTCGCGGGGCGCAACTACATTTACACCATGATGAATTTTCCGGGGCTTGGGGGCATCCACCCGGTGAAAGCGTTCAATCTCAACCGTCCGTCGATCGCCATCTCGCGGCTCTCGAAAGCGGTGGTGATACGGCGAAAGGTGAAGAATGTGGATGATGTGGCAGCGACTTATAAGGCGATTATAAGGGGCCCGAGTGGAGTTAAAATACAGGTTGATCCTAAGAGCTTCACTATCAAGCCCGGGCAGATGCAAAAGTTTTCGGTGCAGATCCAGCCGAAGGGGAAGCCGAGCCAGGTGTTTAGGTTCGGGAGCCTGGTTTGGCAAGGCAACCAGTCACACATTGTACGGATTGTTCTAGCCATCAGAACCGTACCGGTGACGCAATTCATTCCTTAGAAAATGTATCTTATTTCTCAACGCCTTGTTGATTTGTTCCTCATCATTGTGTCAGAGAAACTTAGCATTTTTGCATGTCTTGGGAGGTGATGGCAATTCACCTTATTTAGAAGCTTATCCATCCACTCGAGAACTGCATTTTATTATACCAATAACCACTCACCTTCCAGAACCCAGCCATGCTGCTGCTGCCTCACTGCACTGGTCTCCTGTGACCAGCCCTACATGCTGCACGCCTCAGGCGGTGATGGTGATTCAACTTATCAAACCTGCTTACAGTATTCACTTCAGACAACTGCATAACATCACACACACCAGAGCCCAGTCATGCATGCTGCTGCCTGACTCAAGGAAACAATAGCCTGTGATCAGCCTGAAATGGTACCCACTATTGTATTGCATGATGCATCCCCCAGACCCCACTCCCCCCCATCCCCCCCCCCCCCTCACTCCCTAAATCTACATCCTTCACTCCCTCTTCACTGCATCAATCTCCATGCATCTACAACCGCATTCCACTCCCTCACCCCCTCCCCTTCCCTTCTACCTCCCTCCTAAGGCGGTTTAGTTATTACTCCTGGCCTGGCCCCTTCAAAACCATCCGAATCCTACTTCTGCAGATCAACGGCTGGGAGCCACGAAGGGCCCTCGACATCTCAAGCACGAGCAGCAAAATCAACAGCTAGGATCCACCAAGGATCCTGGAGAGCTCATGGCATGGCTCTCTCCTCCCATGGGGTCTAGTCTAGACTGTTCGAAGAGCTAAGGAGCTAGGGTAGGTAGGAAGCTAGGGTAGGTTGGGAGCTCGGGCGCCATGGAAAAATGGCGAGAGGTTTTGGCTAGGGGGAGAAGTTACAAGAGGAAAGAGAGTTGGACTAGAAGAGGAAGAGATACAAGAAGGGGGGGCTGTCCCCTCTACAGTAGGATCTAGTAATGTAGCATATCTACCAAGCCTAAACAAAGATATATAAAAATATATATATCTTGACACACCCCCTAGGCCTGGTAGTGGCAAGCCCACCCAACACGCAACAACCCCAAACCCTTTCAACCCCATGCCCTTCAGCAGCTGTGGCATCTACTCCTCGTGCGAAGCGGTGACACCCCCGGCGGGCGGCAGCAAAGGCGTCAGCGACGGCTTCTACGATGACGACAGCGGCGGTAGCAGTGGCGGCGGCGGCTTCGACGACGGCGGCGGCTGACTGCTAAGCTCGCGGCACCTGGCGGCGTGGCACGACCTGGCAACGACCGGGAAGAGAATCAGCAGCTGCAGCTGGAATGAGGGGTGGCGCGGGGGAGGGGGGGGCGTGGCTTCAGCAAGGCGTCCGTGGCTGGCGCACTGGCTGGCGTGCGGGCGTCATGGCTGGCGCCTAAAACGGTGCGCGGCCCGCTGCCGCCCGTGCGCTGGCACATCGACGCTGCCACGGCTGCACGATGACGCGGCTGCACGGCGACACGGCGGCACCGCGGTACGACGGTAGGGTGGGACGGCGACACGGCGACACAGTGGAACGGCGGCACCGCGGCACCGCGGCACGGCGGCATGGCAGGATGGCGACACGGCGACATGACGATGCCGCCACGGCGTAGCGTCGACGCCACGGCAACACACCGAGGCTGCCATGGCAGCACGACGAAGCCATCATGGCAGCACGACATGGCTGCCATGGCGGCGCGGAAGTGACAGGAGGGAGGAGAGGACGCTGCGGAAGTGTGAGGAGAAGGCCCGAATGGAATGGCCTGCTCTGAAATCATGTTCGAAGAGCTAAGGAGCTAGGTTAGGTAGGAAGCTAGGGCACCATGGAAAAATGGCGAGAGGTTTTGGCTAGGGGAAGAAGTTACGAGAGGAAAGAGTGTTGGACAGAGGAAGAGATACAAGAAGGGGGGGTGTTGTCCCCTCTACCGTAGGATCCAGTAATGTAGCATATCTACCAAGCCTAAACAACGATATATATAAAATATATAACATGACGTGTGCCGCCATGGCACCAGCGTAGATCTTAGCCTCACAGCTAGACTGGGCAATAGATGACGAGCGGGTGGACCTCCACGTGATGGCACGTGCACCAAGGCTAAAGCAGCAGCCCTGGGAGGACCTGAGTGTCTCTTGCTAGCCGTTGCCCCTTGTCTAGCCTAGGGGGTGTGTCAAGATATAATTTGTATATGTTATAGGCTAGCTAGGTGCATGCTTATATAAAGTACAACCCCTTAGGCTATATCCCCTTGTACCACCTCATTCTAGTCATTCTTTCTATGTAAAGATAGACTTCTGTCACGAGGGCAGTAGAGTTACAATATGTCATGAGCCCTCAGATTCCATGCTTTTTTTTTCTCCTGATTTTGCTGATTTTCAGGGTGTTTTTCTGTACCAACCCTGAAAAATCAGCGTTGGAATCTGAAAAAACGGGGATTACTAGTTAAAAAAACAGTACCAACCCTGATTTTCAGAGGGTTTTCAGGGTGCCTTAGCGTACCTACCCTGAAAATTCAGTGTGGCCTAAAACGAATCTGAGGGCCTTCTGTAGCCGCCATGGGTTATCGAGCCATGGACTCTAGAGAGTGTAGAGCAGAGCCGCACCGACAACCAGCAGAGCAGTGAGCACACGAGAGACGGTGGCAACAGCCCCTGGAAGCCAAGAGGGGGGGAATTGCGGGGGGAGGGGGGGAGCAGAGGGGTTAAGATAGGGTACAAGGAGTTTACTTTCTGGGCACCTCAAAAAGTAGACTCTAGAAACGCAGGCCAGAGCAACACCAAACCAATGACCAGCAGACAAGGGACAGTGGCAACAGCCCCTGAAACTGAAACTGAGAGGAGGGAGGGAAGGGAGCAAAGGGGAGGAAGAAGCAGTAGGAACTGGTGTGTATTAGAGTGCATACTAGGATTTGAAAGGATATAGATGATGCATCAGCCCGAGACTAAGGATGGAAAAGTGTATGGCAAAGAAAAGCAGCTTTCTAGAACCACAAGCGGATGTATGCTGCCAGCCGATCGCAGGTACAGAGACAAAACAATGAACAGGGTTGGCAAATTGTCACAAGCAGCACCAGGGAGGGAGTCGACGTTGCTGGGGAAGACAACCGCGTTGATGTAATAATAGTCATTCTGAGTAACGCATTGCGTGCGGCCTCCGAGATCGGGTGCGACGTGGACGTCTGGCAACTCTTGGCCTTATTCGCCAGGTCCGCCAGTGTCTTGCTGCTCGTCGTCTTCCCCTTAATCACCGCATTCTTAAACTTCTCGCTTGCGATCGCGTCGAGCACCTCGTACAGCACGCCGCTGCTCTTGGTCTTCTTGTACCCATCGAGCGCCGCGCTCCACGCCGTGTTCGTCGGCAGGAACATCGTCTGCGCGTTAGCCGAGAACTTGCAAATGCCGTTCGCAAGGTAATACAGCACAAAGTACGACTTGGACACGTCTTGGAACTTAATGGTGCTTGCGAATTTCACTTTTGGCTTGGGGAGCGGCAAGCCCGCCGGCAGCTCCTCGGTATATTCTTGCATGTAGTCATCGTCATAGTAGGTGTCACTACCAGCAGGTGCCGCTGGTGTTGCGGGAGTGGGTTCTGCTGATGCCGAGTCAATTCCCGGAGGGACCTCTGAGTCAACGGCCGGAGCGGAGTCATTTGCCGCAGCGGCCGGTGAGTCAACTCCCGGAGCAGCTGGTGTTGCGGGAGTTGGTTCTGCTGGTGCCGAGTCAATCCCGGAGGGACCTGTGAGTCAACAGCCGGAGCGGAGTCATTTGCCACAGCGGCCGGTGAGTCAACTCCCGGAGCAATTGGTGTTGCGGGAGTGGGTGGTGCTGTTGGCGAACCGTCGACAATGGATCCAGGGCCCTTCACGTCAGTTGTGCTGTCGGGCACGAAAGTCGTCGGACCAGACGGCGACCCGGTGTGGCCAAGCGCAGGATGCACGGTGGCTGCAAGAAGTAGCATGAAGACAGCGAAGGTGCGAGGCGGAGTCACCATCATGGTGGCCTTGATGGGCTGAGGCTGGTGGAGTGCCAGTAGTAGTGAGCTTTCCAAAACAGAAGAGGAAAGCCAGGGGAAAAGAGTGGGGGAAAAATGTGGAGTAATTCGGATGTTGGGGCGGGGGAATTTATGAGTGGGGATTCCGTGGGGAAATTTTGGCTGGTGGGGTTGCTCACGAATTTGTGGGCCCGCGCGCAGATGCTATTCCCGGAAAGGCATGGTTCCGCCTCTGCTTCCTCAGCATGCACGGGTGCTCACAGGCAATTGATGCAGTGAGGCACATGGGTGCTGGTTCAAGCATGTGCGCAATCTGCCCCACGCTGCCGCAAACTCAGCCCTCACACCATGCGCACCTGTGCGCACAGTGATGTGCACTCCACTTTGCCTCGCGTATCTCACGGTGTGCCGCACGGTGAGCCACCGCACCTCAGGGGGGGAGGGAGGGGGGGAAGGGGGGGGAGAGAATGGCAAGATATTCATGCAGCGAAAGAAACAAACCAACTCACCACACGACAGAACAGCCACGCGGCGCGGCAGCGTGACGCCGTCGCTCGTTGGACAAGTGCCACAGTGGATTCCGACACGTGGCTGACAGTGTCAGGCACCAATTCCGACGTCGGGGAGATAGTATTCTGCCGTCACGCGGGAATTCCATCGGCTCAGGGCTACGAGCGGCTTGCGGTTGGGTAATACAGATATTGCGGCTCCAGAAGTCAACTTAGTCGTACAGTTGTGTATTAAGAATCTCTTGTGACAAGGATCAAGTACTACATCCTCATTACAGTTCGCCCAAGCTAAGATCACGTTCTGAAGTTTGGCTGTCCGACTCGCACATCAGCGAAAGTTTGGCCAAACATGGGGTTTTGGTTGGCAAAAGTTGTGGTGGGTGAACTTTGGCCAACCCCAGGCGAAAAACTAGGCGACCAGGCCGCGACATTTTGCGAACGTTACCCCATCGTGCCAAATCAGATCGACAGGCGATCTGCAAAATGACATGCCAGAGAACACAATATGGGTCGCAGAGGACTGCGACACCTGACGGCCAGCTTCCGAATCATTTTGAAAAGTTGTCTTGCAAAAATTCCACCAGATTCCCACCAGTATAAAGAGTTAAATCCGTTTGCCAAATAGTTCAACAGCACGTAAGTTGTTTGAGAAGAACGACATGATTAGCTGTCAGGTAGTACTCCTTGGGATCTCCCAACCAAAGATAGGAAGCTCAAAGCAGTTGGAACGCGGGTTTTAAGGCTATATCCTTCTGGTTGGGGTGTTGATGAAGGCTTTGGTGAAGAAGAGTGGAGCAGTCGCAGTTTGACAGCTGTTAGTGCGCCGGGCAGGATGGTGCTGCTTTTGTGGCTTGGTCGACGTCACATTTCCTTAGCATGGCCAGCCAAGTAAGCAGAAACTAGGTTTCGTCCTTGGTCGTAGCTGTTCGTGGACCCCCGTCGCACGAATTCTGGCCGGCAAGGTGTGGTTGGCCAAAGTTTGAATCGCCCCGCCAAACATTGCAATGTGCAATTCAGACGTGGCGAGTCGGGTGGCTAACCTTCAAAAGTTCGGCCAAATTTCAGAACGCGGCTTGAGTCGACCAGTTCGCCCTTAGCAGCAGCACAACTCCAAGCACAACCAAGGTGATATTTTCTCGTTCTCGGATAGGTGCTTGGAGTCGTTTGTCCGTCGAGATACACATGTAGTCCTTTTCAAGCCCAGTTGTTTTTTGGACGGGTACTCCAGAATCGAGCGCAAAACTTTCACGGACGAAATGGGCCAATATAGGGTAGTCTGGTTACCTAATTGGCATTTTTCTGTCTAAGCGGGTGATCATTGCTGTTTTTTTTTGCGTTCCTCGGGCAACAGTGTGAGGCCTCAGAACGTCCCGTATGCACGTTTGGAGGTCTCAGTATCAGATGTGGCAACTGTTGGAGATCAGTGGGCCTCAGTGGGCTTTCCCCACTGAGGTCTCCTAGTTTCCCCTCCCCTGTTTCTGTTCCCCACTCCCCCAGTAGCTCCTGCTCACCTTCCTCCCCATCCTGCTCCGTCAAGTGTGTCTCACGCCACTCCCCTCCCGTCGGTTGTCCCGGTCGAGGAGTCGGCTGACTCTGGTGGCCCTGCGGCACAGTTCTTGCCACCTGTCTCTCCCCCGGTGTCTCCTCCGCCGCCGTCGCCGCCGCCGCCGCAGCCGACGCCGTCGTCGCAGCAGCAGCAGCCGCTCGTGGCCTCTGGGGGTGTTGGCGTTGAGGAGGGTGCTAGTCCTGGGTTCTTGTCGTGGCTTGTCCCGGCGGGCTCGGGTGTGGCACTGGTGCTGGAGAGGGTTCACGCTCTGGGGGTGCTCGTTCTGGGGGTGCTGGAGTGGAGTGTTCCGGAGGTAGCTGGGCCGTTGCCCGTGTGTTCAAACAAATGGGCCTGTAGATGGACACGTGGCATCTAATGAATGGGCGGTTGACTGGACTAAAAGTGTATACCAACCAGCCATATCTGAGGTGTAAGGGTTGGCTTCTGTCAAGAATTTATGCCACAATGTAGCGCGTGTATCAATGGTTGAGATTGTCTTTCAAATTGTGTGTGAGAAAGTTGGGTTGATGACCATCGGATGAGCATCTGGTATTCCAAGTTCCAAAACGTCTGGATGCGGAGCTAGGTCCTCGATTGCAGACAAAATCCGTCTGTTTGTCTGATTTTCAGAACCTTTTTTTGGCCTTCATCTGATTATTTAGAACCGTGTTTCCAGAATTTCTGATGTCCTAGAAAGTGATTTTGTATTTGTCTGAAAAAAACAGAAGAGGTTTATTCGTTCTTCTGAGTTTTTAAACTTAGCGAATCCGTCCATTCGAAACCAATATCTGTAGGGCTGTGTACAGCCCCCCTATACAGACCGCATATCCCACGTGGCCCGCGTTGTGGCCACCCACCAAAAAGGCAGAGTGTGACTCAAATGCTGCCCACACTGAGCTGTGGCAGCATGTTTTGGCACATGCATGTGAATCTCATTGGCTAAGACTATAACAATGCACAAGGACACCATCGCTGTTGCCAGCTAAGGGGCGTGCGCGCGCTGGGTCATGGGTTGCAATGCATGTTGCAGCTACAGCTCTACATCTGATTGGCTTGTCTTATCAACAGCACATTACCTTAGCTTGTCGCCAAGTGCCCGCTTCGTGCAGGAGACGAGAACCTTCTCCAGCTTTGGACGGTGGATGGATGCTCCCCATGCCGCTCGAGACGCATGCGCGCCCCGAGGTTCTGTGAAAGAGGGACCACACCCCCCTTCTTCTCCAGTCCTCGCTTTGACACCCACTCCTTCCCCTCACTATGTTCACCACACACGGTGAACTGCTAGTCAATTTTCTACCTGCTCCATAGCTCGTCTCACACCACTTTGATACGGATGCTGGCGCCGTTAGAGATGGCGGTTCCTCCCGGCGCTGGTATGACCCCCCTAACTGGGCTTGATTTCCTCCATCGAACTCACCAGACCTGCCCGAATCCAAAGGCAGATCCCGTGCCTGCAGTCCCATCACCCGCAGTAGCGCCGCCATTCAGCGAGATACTCCCAGAAGTAAATAGCGACCCGTTACTCGCATCCACTCCCCCAGCGTCTCCTCGCTCTCCTACCACTGTATCAGCTAGGCGGTCCCCTCCGCTGTCCATCGATGCTGTACAACAGCCGCCGAAGCCACCGTCCATTGGACGTTTCACACAAAGCACAATACGCTTTGCACGCACCCGTGTTCCTCACATCCGTGTCGAGGCTCGTGCCTCCACTGACAAACCACCCTCGCCGTCAGAACAGCCCGAAGCTGGTTCTTCTGCTGTCCGGCCTGTCCCGAAGCCTAACTCCCGTCGTCGATCCCGTCTCATCCCTAACCCTGATGCGCTTCTAGCTGAGCTAAAAAGCAAGGCTGAAGGGCAGTGGGTCCGAAAGTTCCCATGGCTCATCATCGATCAACGCCCCAACGGACGTTCGTGCATGAAATGCCGGCTTTGCATGGCTCACGCACCTCCCACCTGGCAGTTCGGGAAACTTGGCATCGACGGAGTGGATATTCAGAAGCAGACAATGGTGAAGCATTCTCAAAGCAAAAAGCACGAGGCCGCAGAGGAGAGACAGAAGCAGCTGGATGGCAAGGTCACATCGCAGCCAAGCATCACAGAGTTCGAGGAGTCCCCTGAGTCCCTGGACAACTGCCTCAGGCAGTTTTGCCTCATTGTTTTGTGGATTTGCAAGTCTGACGCACCCATTGCCATGTTCGTTTCTCTTCTTCGTCTTCTCATCGACTTGCAGACTCCGCACATCCCTGAGAAAGCCTTTGGCACTTACCATTCTGAGTAAGTCTGTTTGTCATTTCTTTGCAGCAGATACTTATAGACTACCACTCTGACTAAGTCAGTCTCTCTGTCATTTTGCTTATTCGACAAGTACGGCTTCAAGCAGATCACTGAAGCACTCGTCGTCTACGTGCCGAGCAGAAGAAACAAATTGACGCATCTCCATTCGTTGGCATTCAGCTGAATGAGAGCACCGACAGGCGGCGTGGGAAACACATGATTGTCTATCTGACATTCTTGTAGAATGCCAAGGTTGTGACTGAGTTCTACGCTCACCTCACAGTTGAGAAGTGCGACGCCAGCTCTCTTCTGTCAACACTGCAGACACTCCTGGAATCTACCGGGCTGGATCTGAACAAGATCAGCGTCATCAGCATTGATGGCGCCGGCTTCATGACCGGCGCAAACCGAGGCCTCGAACCGAGGCCTCATGGCGCAGCTCCGCGCCAAAGTTCCGCACCTCTTCGCATGCCACTGCATTACGCACTGGTCAGTTTTGGCTGATGCCTTGTAATGAACCTGCACTTGGTGTTGCGATGTCTGTTTATTTAAACACGGGCTAGGTGCATGTAACCAAACATTGAAGAACTAATGTTTTCGTTTCTTACATGCAGAGAGGCATTGGCTGCAAAGGATGCAGCCACCGAGTACGCGGACCTTAACATCGTGAACAAGGTGGTCAGGAGTCTAGCTGACATCCTTGGGTAGAGCATTGTCGTACATAAGCGTTTCAGCGAGCTCCAGAAGTACATCAACGATACAACCCTGGAAATGCAGGGTATAAAGGATATCTGATGGCTCTCCCGCGACGAAGCCATCTCGTGGCCCGTCGAAGTTTTCCCCGCTGAAGTCTTGCTGCTGTATGAATTTGATGATCACATGTACCATGTCGCCAGCAAATTCAAGTTCCACTTCCTTCTCTTTTTTCTAGCTGACATCCTTGCAGAGCTCAATGCCCTCAAAAAAAAGTTTCAGCATTGTGCTCTAAGCGTGCATGCTTGTTCATCCCAAAAAATAGCTTGCTCCTCCCACAAAAATGCATGACAGCGCTAATTTCATTGCAGAGGCTACATCGCAGGTGGACATCACCAGAGCCGCCCAACAGATTGAGAACACCTGCAATGTGCTCCGCTCACGCTACGTTGAGCATGGCGTTAACTTCGGCGAAAGCTCCGATCTGCTGACCACGTTCATGGAAGAGCATAGACCTTCCAACAAGCGGATGATCACGATGGAGGGCATCGACGGCTCTGGCAACCCCAAGACCCACACCTTCAAGCTTCATGAGAAGGACCTGAGCGGCCAGAGGAGCAAAGGAGAATGGAGATCTCCAGGGATAGAGCAGCGCACACCATCACTCTCACACAGTCACATTTGGTGCGCCAGGCCCTTCAGCCAGAGTTTCGGCCTTCAGTTCTCCTCTGTACAGCCCACCCTTCTGCTAGTAGATCACATGCTCTCGGCTCCAATCCCTGACAAGCCTGTTGAGCCCATTGGTCAGTACGCAG